TTTTCAGTTGAAGGACAGCCTGGTACAGAGCAAGTTCTAGGTTAAAAAAAGGTTTAAGTCCAGGCATGTTGGATATGCCTTTAACCCCAGAATTTATGAGAGAGAGGCATGCATATCTATGAGTTCAAGGTCAGCCTGGTCTACAGAGCAAGTTCCAGAAGAGCCAAGCTTAGGCAGTGAAGGATATAATAAAACAAGGAGGCCCTGTTCCAACCCCAGCAAGCAGCAGAACTTGGCAGCTTTGTCCATTTGGCTCTGGCTTTAGAGTCAAGAGTAGAAAGGGTTACTGGGACAACTGATGCTGGTTAGCAGGAGCTAAGAAATTCGTGGTGATTAAGAAGAGACCAGCATCACTGAAGTGAAATCTTCTTGAAAGTGTTTTCTGGGAGCACAAAGAAACTGTGTTTCAGAGATAACCAAAGCTGTACCTCATGCTGCAGCTGGACTTGGTAATATGTAAGAATTACCCAGGAGGTACTGGTTTTGAAGGCATTAAGGGGTCATGGAGAGCAGGTGAGGCTTGACATTGTGAGAGGTCACAGAAGGCCATTGGTGAAGGTGCAGCCTCAGTTGCAGTTGCCGGCCCAGGACTGAAGGGGTCATGCAAAGTAGTTGAGACTTGCCACCATGAAGAGAGCCTATTGTAGCAGGATACCTCCCTCCCCCTGCTACATTTACAGTAAAGCTCTGTAATTTGGGAGGAGCTTATTTGGGAGGAGTGAGAAGATGAAGGAGAGAGGAACAGGAGAGATGTAGCAGCCATGGAGAACCACACTTGATCCAGAACAGTCCTGAGTAACGATTTATATCTTAAGGTTAGATATTGGGGAACAACTCTAATTGTGTGGGCATCTTGTTAATTGAACATTTTAAATGTATAAAGCCTTTGCATAATAATTAAGCTTTAGAGTCTCATTTCTACCTGGTACCACATGGATGGTGGGTATTGCCAAGCCTTGTGGAGACAGCGTGGTGGATTGGCAGAGTACCACTATGATGGTGTCACGTGGGCCTCTGGCTGCTTCTAGCTGTGGCGTACTTGGCTTCAGGCCTCGGAGCACTGCAGCCTGAGCTAAGCAGAACCACACCACTGCTGGGATAGTTGGCCAGCGTCCAGGCCATTTTAAATATTACTCTCAACATCCTATAAAAAGCCCTTGGTGAAGCCTAGTGGCAGTGATAACCTTGGCATGTTGTGGATGCCAGTACCATGGAATGACAGACCCTGGAGTGCTACAGAGGGCAGAGCTGGAGGTGTGGCTCAAACATTTTGGAGGTGCCTAGAAGATCATGTGTTGATTCCAGACATTGGAACAAGAAGCTGTAAAGTTGAAGTTGCCTTGGAGATCCCAAGATGTTTGAGATGTCAGAGCTGTGGGATACCAGCTGAGGAAAGCTGCTAACAGGGAGTTGAACCAGTCCAAGACAAAGAATTGTACTGCAGTCAGCAAAGCAGAAAGAAATTAGATCTTTGAAGAACGCTTTGACATTGGACATGGAGATGCAGAGTTTGGAGTTTGCCCAGCTGGCTTTTGATTTTGCTTTGGTCCAATATTTCCTCACTATGACATTTTGGAATAGTAAAGTATATCCTAAGATGTCGGAGGTGTGTGATCTGCTTTTTGATTTTGTAGAGGATTACAGTTAAGAGATTGCATAAATCTCAGAAGAGACTTTGGACTTTTAAACATTGGTGAGACTATGATAGACAATGGGGATTTTTGAAGTTGGCCTAAATTTTGCATCATGCTGTGGCTAGGTATGGACCTCATAGACTCATGTGTTTGAACAAGCAAGCCTATGGGAGTCAGGGAGTGGAACATGGTAGTTTGAATAGTCTTGGACCATGGGAAGTGGCACTATTAGGAGGTGTGGTGTTATTAGAGAAGGTGTAGCCTTGTTAGAGGAAGTGTGTCACTGTGGATGCGGGGCTTTCAGGTCCAATATAAATGCTTAAGTTTCTCGCCAGTGTGATCCAGAGTTTCCTGCTGGCTGCCTTCCAACCAAGTTGTAGAACTCTCAGCTCCTTCTCCAGCACCCTTTCTGCCTGGAACCTGCCATGCTTTCTACCATGGTGATGATGGACAAAACCTCTGAAACTGTAAGCTAGCCCCAATTAAATGTTTTATGAGTTGCCTTGTTCATAGTGTCTCTTCCCAGAAACCCTAACCGAGAGAGTCAGGGTTGGTGGGGAAAGTTTAAAACACGGTTGAGTCTATTTCCAGTTCCACAATACAATCAAACCAAAATCTACAAAAGTAAGACATGGTCAGACTAAGCCCCAAGAGTGATTTCAATACCTGCAGGTAGATTTTGTCCATTCTGCTCCTTTCATGGGTGTGAATATGTTTTATTTAATGCTTATTTTCAGGATGGGTTGAAGCATTTACTTGTCCCCAAGCCAGAGCCTTCATGGTTGCTAAGAACCTGTTTGCTTTTGTGTTTCCCTGTTAGAACAGACCAACTTTCACCCAAGGTGATCAAGGTCTACACATGACAGGACTGTCACCACAGAGTGTATGCTCCCTTTTATCAAAAGCCACCCTACCTTGGCCACTGCAAATTCTGGAAAACTTTAAGGAATCACACATTCCCATAAGTTAAAAGTAGGGAAACTGGATGCAAGGTCCCCACCTCCAAATTCGTACTAATGTTTAATGAGCCAGGGCTTTAAACTGTGTCTTCCTGAGTTCATATAAAAACCTAAGCCCTTAGCATGCTGGTACTAGGAGTGAGGCTCAGCATGTTACTCTGCAAGTAAAACCTGCTGTGAGTTTCAGACTTTTAGGTCAGATCTGTTAACCTTCTTTTCCTCTAGACACTAAGAAGAGTTTACCTAAGAGACTCTTGAGACTGTTTTCTTTCCATTGGCAGAAAATTTTACATTTCTTTGTACTGACATGTGACCTATGTCCAAGGTTCAATTTCTCCTGTACCTCTTAAAGGTGGCCCTGGCCTCTCTTCTGTTTCCAGATGGCTTCAGTCCTTTCCTTTCTTTGAAGATGGGAACTAGAAGGGTATGACACAATCTGACCAATCATACCTGGAGCCCCGCCTCCTCACTTTTTTTTTTTTTGAGATAAGGTTGTTTTTGACTTCTAATCCTCCTACCTCAGCCTCTCAGGTATTGGGGTCATAGGTCTGTCTCCTTGTACTTGGTAAGATAAGGACACTCAACCTGAATAACGAGGCCTGTAGAGCTTAACAGGGGGAGGATATGCAAAAAAAAAAGGAAAGGTATGGATTTCCAATATCTAGCACAGTAACGAGCACAGGAAGTGGGCAGTGACTACGGACTGAATGATAACGAACACTGGCATTCACCACGGAGGAAAGCATATGATCAGAGCGGCTAGGGAAGACCGAATAGCAAGTTTTGTGAGTGTTCAGGGCTTTAGGGAGTGAGTTCCCATAGTGGTTACAGATGAAAGACAGGTCCAAAACAACGAGGACTAAAGTCTGATTTTGGATTCAACAACTGGGAACTGTTTTCCAACTGGTGACCAAGTTTCTGCAGTGTGGTTGTACTGAGGAGGCAATGCTTAAGGTTGAGGAGTCAAGAACAGGCGAGGAGAAGGGACAGAGACTTTGGGAAATGGGAAGAAGTGAGATGAGACATTTGTGTGCATGTCCGTTTGCATGAGGGGAGGCAGGGAGGGTGTAGCTAACTCACCCAGGATTTCTCCACGGAGATGGGTAGGAACATCACGCTCACTTGCTGCTGTAATTTCACAGTAGAACTAAGCTACAACTTATGAACAAATAGGATAGGGCAGCACTATTTCAACTATGACTTGTCTTCGTGTAGGAAATAAAAGGCAGACTGTGGTCAGTATCATCACCCAACATTGGTCACACTTAAAACTAATGTGGCCACTACTGAGTGCCTATTATTTCTAGTACCTGGACCAAACTGAACAGAAGGCCGACTAGAAAATGGTGCAATTGAGGCAGGAGGATAAAGGCTTCAGAGAGGGGAGAGCAAATATGGTGCACACCACCAGCATGGGTAGAACCTAGCCATGGTGATGGTGGTTGATGGGAGCCCAAGTCTTGGTTTGGTTTTTTGTCTGATACATGACCTTCTGTGGAAATGGAGGGTTGATGAGGGCAGGGGTTGTCAGATTGGGAAATCTCTGGAATGCATAAGGAGTGGGGATAGAAGACAGGCCTGTTAAAAGGGCTGCAACCCAGTTTACAGAGTGTTTCTGTTTGTCTTCTCCAAACGTTTCTGCTGAGCCTCTTGCTGCATCTAGAGCAGACAAGCTTTTTGTAGGAGGAGCTTGGTCTCTCCATGGATGGAGACACAAAAAACATTTTGAAAGCTCCTTCTCCATGTACAATCCAACTTGAGAAATATTCTACCATTATGCAAATGCATGCAATTAACTCTCTTCTTACACAGTGTGGTATGGATGTAACTTTAATTCTCAAAAATTCTCAAAAGGTGTGACACAAATTTTCTTAAGAAGAATGATGAGTCAGGAGATCCTATCCCGTTGGTTCACCAAGAAATGTCAATCATAGGCACACTGGTCTAAGTTCCTAGAGTTTGAGTCCTATCCTCCAATGGCAAGCCAGTATCCTTAGGGCTGGCTTCTTATTGGTTTGTAGGTATGGGCGGGGCCACCCACTTGGCTTCCACTGGCTCCACCCCCATTCCATGCAAAAGAAGTCAGAGCTCTGGTGAGCCCATGTGATTGGTCATGTGGTAGATGAAGGATTCGCCCCACCCCTTCAATGACGTCACCACCAACTCAAACTCTCTCGAGAGCTAGCCCTGAGGGGGTGAGGGCTCTAGACCCAGGGGGTTGAGGGGAGGGGGCTGGGGCAGGCTCCACCCCCTCCAGAGACTCGAAGCTCGCGGGGTCCAGGGGCCTGGAGGGGCCCGTGAGAAGAGCCCAGGGGGTCCCCAGGCACACTCTACACCCATTGGCTGGCCTCGTCGGCATGCAAATAAGGCAACGTCACTTCCTGAGGCAGCTGAGCGCCATCTTCTCTTTCTGGCGCGCGGGAGGAGGGACGGGCGCGGGGCGGGGGTCCCGCCGCGTAGGCGGAGGACGCGGCGGTATTGCGACGGCGGCGGGACGCGGCGCTCCTCGCGCCCCGCGGTAGGTATCGTCCCTACGGCCTGCGCCGCCCCCGACCCTCCCCGCGACCCACCCGCCGTCCACTCCTGGGTCCGCCCCGACGTCCCCACCGCTGTCCGCTGCGCTGTCCCCACTGTGGCCTGCCGCGCCGTCGCTACCTCGGTGCCTTCGGAATCTCGGACATTCTAGTGCGCGGCTCGGGTCCCCTCCGCGCCCGCTCGCGGGTCACGTGGGAGCGGGGCCGTTCTGGGAAGGGGGAAGGGCGGGGACAGGGGACAGGGAGGACGGAGGAGAGGACTGGGCAGGGAAGGGGGACCTGCGGATCGGACACCGAGAACAGAGGCCGGGGATGGATGGGGAGAGGGGGCGGGGCAGGGACGGGACGCCGGGCGTGGCGAGCGAGAGTGGTTGGGAGCAAAGGGAGGGTGGGAGAGGACACTACGGGGAGGCGCGGCAGGGCGCCCCTCTGCGGAGACCCGGGAATCGAGCTGAAGCCTGAGGATCAGCCCGTTGTGGAGGATGGCGGGATGCAGGGCAAGATTGTGGCCACGTCTGAAGCGCCGAGTTTTTTTCCGAAGGAGAGGTTGATTTTAGGCACTGCCGAGGGCAAATCCCTGCCTCTTCATTCATGATACTGCGGCATTCGTGACTGATACGAAGATGCTGAATGTGAAATTTAACTTTGCATCTGCCATTTTAGAGGGATTAGACTAGGTTTTATTCGCACAATTTCTACAAAGGTTTTTATTGTAAAGCAACACATAATTTTTTTTTGGTAAGTATGCGTGAATTCGAACCAAAACTCGTTTGAGTGTGGTGCTTAAAGTTAATGCGATTAGGATGAGTGATCACTCCCATACAGGGTAACCAACCTGCAGTATACATTAGCACCGACGGAACCTTCGCCTGAAGGGATTTGCTAGCTGGGGCTTGGACTGGTCTAGTCTGATGTGGGAATAGGGGACAGTATGTGTAAGAAGTTTTGGAAAGTGAATGTTAAGCTCTGGTTGGAAGTTTATGCATATTGCCTAGAGATATCACAGGTGGTGATGATGTTGGCCACATAACGATGCCTTGGGTAGATGGAGGCACTGCCCAGAAAATAGCGGTGACACAGTGGTCCTTAGGTAGAGGACCTTAAGCACAGATTTGCACTTATGGTAGGCAGGAAATGAAGTCATTTCAGGCTATTTTAGGCATCTCGTTGAGAAATGGGAGGAAGAGAGGTCTGGATCACTGGCTTTAGGGGATAACAGTTAATGCAGTTTTTAGCTTGAGGTTGTCTTGGGATCTGACGATACCGTTTTCATTTGAAGTCAAGTTTTCAGTGTATTGTTGCTCCATCGTTGGTTCCCTAAACTGTGGGATGGTAAGGCTTAGCTTTTCCACACTGCAACAAATCCTTTGGCTGTTGCTAACCTGCTATTTAGAGAAAGCAAATTGATGAAGGTCAGGTGGCTAGAAAGGGATTGGCTTGAGGGTTGAGGCAGACTTGCTGAGTTACTACAGTGTTTAGAAGTTGCTTAAAGGAAGTTCTAATAGTTGGGGCATCTCACTGAGTTTTTGATTTAGAGTATACTAAACTCCTGATGATTATGTGTAGTGCTTTACCAATGTTGTCTGGTAAAGCGTGCTCATGAATTAAATTCCTTGCATTGTTCCACAGATGCAGGCAATTTAGGCCCAGAGAGATTAGGTGATTGGCTAGGTTTACTCAGCTATAAAGTGCTTGAGTTGGTTTCATCCAGGAAGAAGCTCCAGGACCTGTGTTGTGACCCTTGCTGTGTTGCCACTTGAGATGAACCATTTTAAAAATCAGATCTTGCTGGGTATGGTGGCACATGCCTTTAATCCCAGCACTTAGGAGGCAGAGGCAGGTGGATTTCAGAGTTTGAGGCCAGCTTGGTCTGCAGAGTGAGTTCCAGGATCACCAGGGCTGTCGGGCAAAACAAACAAAAACAAAAATAAAAACAAAAAACAAAAAAACCAAACCAACCCAAAACAAACCCAAACTCAGATTTTATAGGAACTAAGATGTTTTGTCTTACTAGGGATTATTTTTAAAAATGTATTTTAAAGTATGTGTGTGCCTGTGTGTTGGTATGTGCATAGGAGTGCAGGTGCTGTAGAGGGGAGACCGTGCTAGATCTCCTGGAGATTGTGGTTGTCAGCCAACAAACAAGCATGGTGCTGGGAACCTGACTTGGGTTCTCTCCAGGAGCATTGCATGAACATGGAGCCACGCCCCCAGTCCTTTCCATTTCCCTCTGACTGCCTAAACATGGACTGAACAGGGACAACAGTAGACATGCTAAAGTGGATTGGGGTGGGGGTGGGGAGATAAGGCCTCTACAGGCTACTAAGGGAGTGGGTGAGTCCTCCTCAGGGAACAGCATATTGATTGGTTATCAAATACCAAGTGGTCAGTCCTGAAGATGCACATAAAGTAACAAGCAGACTGACCAAGTTGTATTTAGGAATATACATGCATACACATGTATGTAATAAGTTTATGAAAAATGCTATGAATTTGGAAGAGCAAGGAGTGGAACATGGGAGGGTTTGGGTAGGAAGGGAAAGGGGAATGCTGTAATTATAATATCAAAAATAAAATAATATATATCAGAACTATCTTTATATGGGCATGATACCAAAGCAATAAAACGATCTCTTTAGGAACTGTTATTTTATGCAGGAGTTGGGTAATTTGAGATATTTCAGTTTCTGGAACAAACAAACTAAAAAGTCAGTTCCTTTACCTAGGTGGGTAGGAAGCCGGGCTGGCTGTCAGCTGCTCTTCTAGAGGTGGAGAGGATATGCAGATGTGAGTATAGGGTCCCATTCCTCCAGATAACCCAGCATTCTGTGTGCCATCTTGTATCTTAGGATGGATAAAACCTATGGTTAGATTATCTGTCGTGCCCTTCCCAGAGTGATTGTCTACAGTAGACCTGGGATGTCGGAAGGGCTGATTGGACATTATAAAGCTTCAATAATTGTTTGTTTCATTTCTTGGATTCCTCAGAGTTTTTTTGTTTTTAAATAGATAGTTCTAAGGGGGGGGGCTCTTTTTTTTTTTTTAAACCACAGTAACAATAAAGGAATGGGGGGCCTTTTGTAATGAAAAAGAAAGAAAAAAACCCTGACATTTCTAGGCCCTGTTCCCAAGCCATGAGCCATGATCTACAGAACCTACTTAAAGCTTACTGGGTCACACACGTCCTCATTCTGTGACCCCTGTGCTTCAGAGAGCCACCTAGTCTGTAAGTGCTGTTTCTGAAAGTGTGCCAGGACCTGGACCCTTCTTCCCAGATCTCAAGTAAAGAGTAGGTCTTGCCTGTGTGACTTGACACTGTACTTTGCAATCAGTAAATTTAGCATTCTTGTTTGAGCTGAGTGGATGGGGCAGAACCACCAGCATTTGGAGAATGAAAAGGCCTAGAAGATAACGGTGGAGCTTGAGAGAGGAAATAGCATTTGAGAGAGCAAGTGAACATAATTAACCATGGTCTTGTTCTAGCTAATGTGCTTAGTCTGGCCTGCACGGCGATTGGGTGGTGTTTGGAATGCATCGTTGGGATTTCCAACAGCTTAGTTTTGAAATTTAAAAATTTTATTTTTACTTCATGTTCTGTGGGATTTTTTTTTTTTTAGTCCTTTGTTTTGTACCACTAATGGTCCCTGAAGCTCCAAGACAGCCTTTCCTAGGTAAATGACCTGACAAGAATCTTACAGTTGGCCCACTCCATGAACAGTTTTTCCTTGTTATCTCTAAAAATGTTCTTCCTGTTAATCATCTGCCTCCTCCTCCCCTGGTTTGAGTCTTCTAGCTTTGAATTATAACAGTTGTTAGATTGGGGTATTTATTGTCTCCTTTGCTTCACTGGTGTTTGATGTGATCTCTTTGCCTAGAATGTGTTGGACTTCAGTTTGTATCAAGCAATCTGATAATTTAAAATTTAAAATTTGTGTTTATTTAGCATTTGTGGTGTTTTGTGACATTCTTCCCTTGAAGGAAGCTCAGTCCATGAGGGAAACAGCCAATAAATGGTTGCAACACAGTGAAGGGAAGTAAGGAAGGAGGTGTCCCCTGGTGTCCTGCTGAGTCCCAGAGATTGCCAGCCTCTCCTTAGATAGGGGTTACAAAGGCTGTCAGAGGGTGGATGACCCAGAAACTGCTGTTGAGTTTGGAAGATGGTACCAAATTGCGTTTAAACAGATATAAGTTATCACTTTATTACAATCACCAATCTTCTTAAAAAGTTAGTAAGAAGTTGACTATATGGCTTTTTTTTTTAGTTGTGAAGTTAGTAGCTAAAATATTTTCTACTTTGACTCTACTTTTTAAGTAGCTTTTGTAGTTTAAAGATATCTAAAAATGAGTGTGTGTGTGTGTTTGTGTCTTTCTGCCTCTCAGTTGCATAAAAGAGGTCAGAAGGCATCTTAGAGAAGTCAGTTTTTTCTTTACCTTGTGGGTCTTGGATCTGACTGACTTGTCAGCAAGCACATTTACTTACTGAGTCATTTCTCTGGCCCTAAAAAATATTTCTTGAAATAGTTACAGAGTCACAAATACAATACAGAGAGCCCCCCCCCAATCATTTGAGATTAAACTGTCAAACAAGGTATGATAATCACCCCCAAAATGTTGTTTAACCTTTGACTCCCTTGAGAATTTGGGAGTCATTCCAGTAATGTAATTTGTAGGAAAAAAGATTCAGATTAGAGTTGGATTGTTTAGTTTAGCCTTCATTCTGGAATAGTTCCTCAGTTTTTTCCTTTCATGATACTAAAACATTTTTAAATTACAATAATTTTGCTTTTGTGTATTTGTATATTTAAACAAGTATGGGAGTGTGTGTAGATGTTAGAGGACAGCTCGTATGAGTTGATTCTCTTTTACAGGGACAACTCAGGTTGCTTTGCATGGCGGCAGGTACCTCACTGGCGCTCATGATCATATATATATATATATGTATATATATATGTATATATATATGTATATATATACACACACACATATGTATACATGTATATGTAACATGTGTATATATATCAAATAGTTGCCCCTTTATGTTTGGAAAGTACAATTCATATTTTAGCCAAAAGACAAAAATTGCAGTTTCACTCAAAGGTGCAACCATGAAAATGCAGGGATGACATTTCTCAGGACCTTATTTCTAAGCAGAATAAAAGTGTATACAAGTGGTAGCTTCCTGTGTGGTCATTTTGTGTGTCCTTCTCTCTTGCCCTGGTAGCCCAAGTTTCTGCCCCTCCCCAGTACAAGCCACAGGCTCATCTCATATTTCTGTGTTTGTGGTAGCAAAGGTAGACTTACCTTATGATAATTCTTAAAATGTAACACTTGTTGATCTGGAAAGAGAATTGATGTGTTCAGCTGTCACAGTCTTATAGTCTTACATTTCAGCACCTCTAGAAGTCAGTCTGTTTACTCATTGGCCTCCAACAGCCATCTCCTATCTGCTGTTCACCTGTAAACCTGTTCTCTTTAGACAGTTCATGTGATGAGATGGTAGAAGGACTCTCCATCCAAGGTCTTTTCACATATTTTTGCATCAGCTCCCTTTTATTGTCAAGCAGCATTGCTTTCTCTGTACATAGCACATTGGCTTATCCATGCACATTTGATGGACATTCAGTTGTGTCTTTTAGTTACAAAATTAGCTGCTATTCTTGCTTTCTTCCAACCCCTACCATCCCAGTCTGTTGATTTTTTTTTTTTTTTTTTTTTTTGAGACAGGACCTCACTATATAGTCAGAGTTGGTATTGAGCTATAATCTTTCTGCTGTAGCATTCTGGGATTATACCTGTGCTCTGAAGCTATCTATGCTGATTAACAGACTTACTGTGGAGAAGTATTTGTCCCAATCTTTATCACATGTTTTTAGCTTTTGTTGGTCTGGACTACTTTGAGAGCACTTTGTAGAGCACAATATTTTTTTTTAACAGATTCATGAGTCTGAATTAGAAGTTTACATGGAATGTGGAGATAGCTCATCCTCTGCTGTGTTGGAAGACTGAGAGCCAGTGGTGATTTGGTAGCTGGGACCACACTTTCCAGAAGTACCCTTAATTCATGTTGGAGGATGTGGAATTCCCATGTGGTCTTGGTTTTGTGTATAAATGTAGCTGGATTCCAAAGAGTTCTTAAGAATGACATGCACTATTTTTGCAATCTAGTCTTAGAGTTCATTTGTATGGCATTGCTTCTGTTATTCTTGATTGGTTTGGTTAGAAAGTTCTGTCCAGCATTCTGGTAGCTATTTCAGGTTCTGTCATAAGAGGAACTTGGAGAGGTATTGTGTCATACATTTTTTGAAAACTGCCACAGGTTAAAATCTATTGCTGTCATTTTCCTGGTGCCTAAATTGTCTTGGCTTTGGCTTGTGGAGACTTCTTCCAAGCTTCTTCCCTTGTCCTTTCGACATGACTGGTACTGGAGCTTTCCGTCCACCTTGCTTTAGCCATAGAATTCTTTTCCTAAGGTATTGCGTCTCTCTCGTTTTTTCCACTCCTTCCTTGAAGGTGTCATATAGTACAGCTTGCTCTTGCCTCCACCTCTCAAGTACAGAGTTTATGGGCATGTGCTACTATGCTTGATTTTATGCTGTGCTGAGGATCGATACCAGGGTGCCAGGCAAGGGGAGGTATGCACTCAACCACCTGAAGTATATATAACCCCAGATCACCTTGATATTTTTTTTGGGGGGGGGGGGTCCAACTCTTTTTATGTTAACCAGGCTGGCTTCAAACTCAGAGATCCCAGTGCTAGGATTAAAGATGTTTGCCATCACCACCCTAGCCTCTTGATTTTTAGTAGAAGGTGGTATTTAGAAACTAAGATTGAGGCCGGGCAGTGGTGGCGCATGCCTTTAATCTCAGCACTTGGGAGGTAGAGGCAGGTGGATTTCTTTCTGAGTTCGAGGCCAGCCTGGTCTACAGAGTGAGTTCCAGGACAGCCAGGGCTACACAGAGAAACCCTGTCTCGAAAAACCAAAAAAAAAAAAAAGGAACTTAAGATTGAGTCCTTATGTACCTCTGCTGTTGTCTGGGTGAGTGACTGCTACCAAGTTCTCAAAGGGCACAAATGTGGACTGAAGTATATATGCACATTCATGTCCATGATGCATTAGCTTTTATGTTTGCATGTTGCAGACAGTAAGGTCACATTATTACCTCCTAGTTAGTTAAGAACTACAGGGTTTATCTTATACCTTTCCAGATATTTTTAAATTTGGTATTATTGGGAGGTAATGCATGTACTGTAAAGTTCCACATTGAAAAGATGGCTGTTGGCATGTTCACAGAGTTAAGTATACTTTGCTAAGTTGGATTGTTCTCTTGACGCAGAATTTTGTTAAATAATTTAAACTAGCCTCCAACTTGTGATCCTCCTGCTTCACCCTCCCAAGTTTTTGGATTTGCAAGTATATAACATTGCTCTATTTACAGAATATGTTTGAAAGTTGTCATTGTCCTTTTCAGCATAACAAAAGACAAGCCCTGTTCCCTTCACTGTCCCTGACGAGTTCTCTGGCCAAAGGCAGCCATTGCAATTTCTGGATAGGTCTGTCACTTTATGTATAAATGGAATTGTAATTATATATAAATTTGGTTCTTCTTGTCTGACTTCTTAGCAGACTTTCTGTGGCTATAGCATGCATTGGTACTTCTCTTTGTGGTCCAAAATACAGGTATTCACAGCTTTCCTTTGTTTGTTTCTTTTTTCTTTCTAAGATTTATTTATTTTATGTATATGAGAACACTTGTAGCTGTCTTCAGACACACCAGAATAGGGCATTGAATTCCATTACAGATGGTTGTGAGCCATCATGTGGTTGGTGGGAATTGAACTCAGGACATGTGGAAGAATAGTCAGTGCTCTTAACCACTGAGCCATCTCTCCAGCCCCACAGTATGAGTTTGTTTTTTTAAAGGTTTATTTGTTTATTTATTATTTGTTTTATATGAGTACACTGTAGATGTCTTCAGAAACACCAGAAGAGGGCATCGGATCTCATTACAGTTGATTGTGAGCTGCTATGCTGTTGCCCACATCTTTCTTAATGTGATGGATGTTGGAGTTGTACTTGAATAATTCTCTGAACATCCTTGCCTAACTTTGTCTCTTGGGTGAAGCTGCTAGCTTAGGTGGCATCTACACACTTGTTCCAATTCAGGCTGCCTTCTGAATTGGTTGCCCTGTGTACCTTACAGTTGACATTATGTGCCAGTTTTGGTTTCCCTACGCCTTGCCAGGCCAGTACTAATGCTTTTGAAAGTGACTGAGTTGTACAGCATCCTTTCCTGTATTTTATAAAAGTGTGTTTAGATCATTCGCTCATTTAAATTGAATTATTTTTTGTTTTTAATGATACATTGTATTTTATGTGTGTGAGTATTTTGTCTGCATATATACTTGTGTACCATATATGTACAGAATAGACAGCTTCTGTAAGAGTTCTGAGAACTGAACCTGGGTCCTCTGCAAGAGAAACAAGTGCTCTTAACTATTGAACCATCTTGTCAACCCTTTTCAGTTACTAGTTTTTTAATCTGTATATATCAGAAATGTAATTTAAAAAAATTCCCCTCATTTTTGTGGAATTTTTGCTTTTTTAATGGTGCCCTTGGATACATTAACTTTGTTAAACTCTGCCTAGTATATTTTTTCTTTCGTTGTGGGCGCTTTTTGGTACCATAGTGAGGCTCTGTTGGCAAATCCAAAGCCATCAAAATTTATGCGTAAGTGTTCATTTCAGTTTGCAGTTTAGCTTCTGTTTTAATGCTAAGTTATGCTGGAGGGAGGAGTCAAGTATCATTGTTTTCCATGGTTGTAGTTTCCTCAGCACTGTCTGCTATAAATGATACTATAATGTGTTACTAGCTCTGCTAAAATGATATTTGTATGTGTATGTATTAGTTACAATTTTTTTTTCTTCTTTAAGGAAAATATCAAAAATGTTTCAAATTCCGGTGCAGAATCTTGACAACATCAGAAAGGTGCGGAAGAGGGTGAAAGGCATCCTTGTGGATATTGGGCTTGACAGCTGCAAGGAGCTGCTGAAGGTGAGTGACAGGTGATGACAAGGCCAGAGAGTGTCCAGCTAATGATGAGGCCAGTGGTGTTGGAGGTCACAGGGCTTGCCTTTGGAGTGGAAATTGGAGAGTTGAGAATGGATAAAATTCCTCAAAAAATGAGATTTCCTAAAGCTTTGAAAGACAATAGGATGGAATCTTAAGAGATGTAAGGTAACAACAAACCACTGTACTAAAGTACTGGCAGTCCTACAGAGAGCTCTCTTGAGAAAGGAACAGAAACTATCGGTTTCTTCAACAGTATACCTGTCTACTTTAAAGCAAAGGTTGACTTATTGTTAAGAATCTTGGGAACTTAGTTGCTCACTGCCAGATTCCAGTTACAAGTAAAACGTAATTCAAAGCCTGAAATATTCTTAATATTTGATTAAGAAACTGGCCAGGAGATATACTTCAGAGGCAGCACATTTATCTAGTTTGCATAGTTCTCTGAACCAATTATTCCATAAAATGTAAAAATTCAATCAGACACTTTCTCTGTTTCCATAGCCAAGAATGAAGTAAGCACAGACTGACCCATGGCTATTAGTAGACAGCAGCTTTGTTTAATATTTCTTGAACTATCTATGCCATCTACATAATCTCATTGTTATGACAGTGAACTGACCAAAAGTGTGTGACCATGACCTTAATTCGTCCTTGACTTGTTGCTGTGCAGTGCTGGCTTTGACATATATGTGCATGTTGTGTAAGTGCCTGTCAGGCCATACAACAGTCCAATCATACCATTGTAGGGAGAATTTTGGTTTCTTTGAAACACTCAGAAATAAAGAAATATTATGGAAATACGATTTTCGTCTTAATCCCTTAATATGGGGCTGCTTTAGATTGTCCACAGCAGCTATGATTTGCCTCATGCTGTAGCAGGGACATGATTTTGTTAGTGGCAGATAGTTTCTGTGATTAAGTGACATTTGGGATTCTAGGGACTTTTCAGAGAGTATAAATGCTGGGGCCCTGAGAGTTGGGAACTTTTGGTGAGTTGTTGGTCGTGGTTTGTTAAGTAGTCGTGCATAAAGAAGAAGAAATTAGATAGACTGACAGTGAGGATCACTGTGCCCCAAGGAGCTTGAAACTCCTCTTGGGTAATGTTCTTCTGCCTGAAGGACTTCCTTTAAGCTGTGGTGTCAGACAGCTCCATTAGCTGTCTGTTCTTTCTCCCTCAAGTAAGTTTTTATCTATGGTTGTAGACTTTGAGATGGTCTTACTCTGTTATTTTGGAAATGAGGCTTGCTTTGAACTCAAAGAAATCTGCCTGCTTCTATTTAGAGTGCCAGGATTAAAGGTGTGCATTACCATGCCTGGCCTAGGTTGGCATTTTTGTTACGAAATTCTAACATCCTTTTTTTCTTTTTTAAAGATTTACTCATTATATGTATATGGGTGCTCTATCTGTATTATGTACATCTGCATGCCAGATGAGAGCATTAGATCTCATTACAGATGGTTATAAGCCACCATGTGGTTGCTGGGAATTGAACTCAGGACCTCTGGAAGAACAGTCAGTGCTCTTAACTGCTGAACCATCTTTCCAGCCCTGCATCCTTTTTCTTATGAGTTTGCTGTGCTCCTTTTCTTTAGCTGGTGTCTTCACCCCATGTTTCTAGTACTGAAATTCTGATGTATGGTAGCGTGGTCTCACTTCTCTGGCTGGGTCTGCTGAACTTCTTCAACTGAAGCATCAATACCAGTGGTTCTCAACCTTCCTAATGCTGCGACCTGTTAATACAGTTCCTCATATTGTGGTGACCCTCAACCATGAAATTATTTCATTACTACTTATAACTAATTTTGCTAATATTATAAATTGTAAAGTGAATATTGATAATGGAGATGGTCTTTGGTGACCCCTGTGAAAAGGGTTGTTTGACCCCAGAGGCTCACGACCCACAGGTTGAGAATCATTGTTCTGTATAGTTTTCACTGGGTTTGGAGGATGTTGTGATACTCCAGTTTTCAGCACACATGCTGGGGTGCCAGTTAGAGCTCATCAGAACTCTTGGGGTTTCTGCAGCTCTGTTTTCTTGCTGTGTCAGAGTTCTCAGGCTAAGCTCTAGGTATGATGGCTCATGACTGTAATCTTATACTTGGACTTGGGAGACTGAAGCGTGAGGATTGTCTGAGACCAGCCCAGGGTGCTTAGTGATAGCCAGTCTATAACTAAATAACTAGATACATGATAGATAGACATGTTTTTCCAGGCTTTTCTTCTGCAGTTTCAAATCTGTTCTTAATTCCATACTATTTATTATACAGTTTATTTTCAGTACAGATATGTATTCATGGAAGTACAGTTTGGGCTTTTATTTAAATGTGTTTCATTTCTTTGCTCTGCTCATACTTGGTGGTGCTGGTGACTGATGTCAGGCTTCACACATGCTAGGCAAGTGCACTACTGTAGAGTTGGAGGTCACACCCGGCATTTCATCTCGCCTTTTCTAATAAAAGTGTTCTGAAGCAAATTCTCTGTAACTCCTTATTTTACTTCTTATTTAAAATTTAAAACCCCCATAGCTGTGACTATTTTGCTGCGTGTATATCTGTGCATCACTTTCATGCCTGGTGAGGAGGTCAGATCGTGAGTGCGGCAGAGCCTCTCGAACTGGGTTGACAGGCGTCTGTGAGATGCCATGTGGTTGCTGGGAATTGAACTGGGTCTTCCTGGAGAGCAGCAGATGCTCTTCCTGAGTCATTTCTCCAGCCCTGTTTTTTTTGAAATTTGTTAATCCTGTTGTACATGTGCCGGTGTATGCGGACGTCAGAGGACTTTGTGGAGTCAGTTTTCTCCTTCTGCCTTCCCCTTTTTATTACAAATTTTTTAGATTTTAGAAAAAAACTTTTTAATGAGTGTTCTGCATATACATCTGCATGCCAGAAGTGGGCATCAGATCCCCCTATAGTTGGTTGTGAACCACCATGTGGTTGCTGGGAATTGAACTCAGGACCTCTGAAAGAACAGTCAGTGCTCTTAACCGCTAAGCCATCTCACCAGCCCCTATTTTTTAGATTTTTAAATGATGTTTTATGTGTTTGAATGTTTTGGTATGTGTGTGTGTATGTATACCATGTGTGTGCCTTGTGCCTGTAGAGATCAGAAATCATTGTATCCCCTGGAACTGAAGCCATCATATGAGTTCTGGGAATCGAACACTGGCAGCACCTGCTTTCGTCTGTTGAGCCATCTCTTCTGCCCCTCTTTGTTTTTTTTATCTTTATTTTTATTTTATGTGTATGAGTATTTTGCATGTGTGTCTGTGTACCATTTGAGTGCCTGATACCCGAGGAAGAATGTGTTGGATCCGTTGGTACTGGAGGTAAGGGCAGTTGTCAGCTGCCTTTGCTGAGAACTGAACCTGGTCCTCTGGAAGAGGGCTCAGCAAGTCCTCTTAACCTCTGAACTCTCTCTCCAGCCCATCTCTTTCCACCTTTACCTGCTTAGCCATCTCTCTGACACACACCTATCATTGCTTGTGCTCCTGGTTTGGAGTAATAGTTTACTCTTGATTAGATAGCTGAAAGAATTTAATTGGATACTGAACGTTATTTGTTTTATGATGGCTGGATTTTGTGTGGTCTCCTACTGTGCTGGTTAGTTTTATGTCAACCTGACACAGACTAGAGTCATCTGAAAGAAGGGATCCTCAACTGAGAAAACGCCTCCATAAGGTTCAGCTGTAGGACATTTTTTAAATTAATGATTGATAGGGGAGGGCCCTGCCCATTGTGGGTGGTGCCATTGCTGGGCTGATGGTCCTGGGTTTCATAAGAAAGCAGACTGAGCAAGCCATGAGGCAGAGTACTAGCATTGATGTAGGTGAAGGTAGTGTATTAATTACCATTGGTCATTAACTGTTAATTGGAATTAACTGACTCAGCTAATTCCTTCTTGATTATTAAAGGTAATCCTTGATTATAAAGACAGTACTATAAACTGTAAATGTTATAAAATGTAGCTAATTGTTAGGTAGAGAGTGAAATTTAATTGCCACATTTAGAGAGGTTGACCTGTAGTACTCTGTTGTTGAGCTTCCAGTTTCTCTGCAGATGGGTGTTCATTTACAGGGCTTCTTTCCCCAGGTTTATACTAGGTGGTAACTTTGCTGGCTTTTTGGTTACCTTTGTCTTGTCATGAAGTATGTACTTTGCTGACTGGCCCACAGTCAGGTCTTGAGAATGTTGCTGGTGACAGGCTCATCTGGTCCTCTCTTTACTTAGCCAACAGCAGGCATTCCTTAGTGATCAGAGGCCCTCCATCCTTTTGAAGTGTCACCTTCCAAAGCAGTCAGTAAACTTTGCAAATGATGCGACCCCTTCCCAGTTGTAGTGTATTTCTGTTCTCTGTTTTGATGCTAGAAGTTTCCAGCATTCAGGTGGGTCTGCTGCTTCGGCTGGAACCTTGCTATGTCCAGTTCTGTGATGATGGCCTATCCTTGAACATGTTTCACTTGTGCCCTTCATTAGCCCTTGTTCTGGGTTCCATGGGGTGACTCTGAGGGCACTGTATACCTGGAAGTTCTACCTGCTTCTTGACACACTCGGAAGTTTGTGAATGCTCTGCTGCACACACTTTATAATGCGTGTCATAGGTAAAGCAAGAATATTAGGTGTTTACCTTCAATTTAGAAAAGTGCCATAGGCCATGTGAACTTAGATGTGAAGTACTCTGGTTACATTTTCCTCAGCACCTCCCGTCAGGCCTGTGAAACAGTTTTATTCAAAGCCTCTGTCTCCTGCAGCCTTCTGCACAGTTCTGCACTCTGCTCAGGCCCTGTTTGTTTTTCCTTCCTGGCAGTGTTGGCTACATGTCTCTCCTGGTTGTGCTCAGGCCAGGTTGACTAGATTTGGGTTCCCTGATTTCTGTTTCTCTGCGTCCTGAATGTGCTCGTCATAGCACTTTGTGACCAACAGGAGATGGTGTTTGCTTGTGAAAAGCTTTCTAATACATTTCTCAACAGTCTTTGTCTACAGTGAGTGAAACTGAGCTTGGGATCTCTTATCCTGATTGAGTCCCAAAAGTCTTAACAATGAGTATTGGAGACTTAAACTAGTGTTGTGTGCTTCTCACCCGTTTTTACCCTGTCAATTGTACTGTATATGTACTGTTTTAGTTAGGGTTTCACTGCTGTGAACAGACACCATGACCAAGGCCACTCTTATGAGGACAACGTTTAATTGAGGTTGGCTTACAGGTTCAGAGGTTTAGTCCATTATCATCAAGGCAGGAACATGGCAGCATCCAGGCAGACATAGTACTGGAATACTTGAGAGTTCTACATCTTCATCTGAAGGCTGCTAGCAGAATGCCAACTTCCAGGCAGCTAGGGTGAGGGTCTTAAAGCCCACACCCACAGTGACACATCTATTCCAACAAGGCCACACCGCCAAATAGTCCCACTCCCTGGATCAAGCATATTCAAACAATGACATGTACCTACTCCCTCTTCCTGCTGTTTCTTTGGCGTGCTGGACCTGATACTGTTCTTTGCCCTGCCCACAAGTGGTTCTTCTCTTCACTGTCCCTCTTGTCATAAAACTGCTACTTGGCTTACTGGCTTTAGCCACTTCCATTGTACCATTTGTTTCTACCTTCATGGTGGAGCAAGGTGTTGTGGGTTTTTTATTTGTTTATTTGTTTGTTTTTTGTTTTTTTTTTTGGTGAAAAATAACAGCTGGTGTTAGAGGGATGATGACTCAGCAGTAAAAATACTGACTGTTTTTCCGGAGGACTTGGGGTTGATTCCCAGCATCCATATAGTGGCTCTCAATCATCTGTAACTGCAGATGCAGGGGATCTGATGTCCTTTTCTGGGTCCTGTGGACACCAGGCATACATGGACATGGACATGTGTAGATGAAACACATATACAAAATTAAAGCAAGAAACGAAAAATGACTTGTGTTTTAGGGAAAGAACACAAACCCTAACTGTTCAGATCCTGACTACAAGGTCAGCCCTGTACGGTGAGCAGAGGGAATGATAGGCAGATTGCGTCGTGCTGAAGTGCCTCTGGAGATGGACTGTTGAGCGCCATGTCAGTTCTTCTCTTGGCCCACACTGTGTGTGCTGCATGAGTTTATGGGCACTTGAGCCTTGCTCATGTGTACAAAGTGTAGGGAACATTTTCTTCTGGGAGAGAGAGAGAGAGAGAGAGGCTCTGTTTATAAGTTGTACTTTTAATGTGGATAATTTAAACCTTTCTCTTGACATGCATACTTTAAATGTCAAACTTTGTTAATGACTGTGCTTCCATTCTTTGCCATATAGGTTTATGAGGTGGCAGATTGCTTGATCATGGATTTAATGCTTGTAGGAAGGGATTATATACTCAGGGCCTCGGCTCACAAGGCACATGCTATACCACTGAGCCTCATGGTCTAACTGTTATACCTTTTTATTTTTGCAACAAGGTGTTGTTAAGTTGCCCAGGTTGCCTTTGGACTTTGGGATCCTCCTGCTTCAGCCTGGCACTACAGGCGTTCACCTTCATGTCTAACTTTAAATGTTTCTGTAACACACAGATTGATACATAATGTTTGTTTTTCTTTATGTTTTTTTTTTCCCCTTAAGGAGCTTAAAGGCTTTGATCCAGGAGAGAAATACTTTTATAATACATCATGGGGAGATGTTTCTCTTTGGGAACCTTCTGGAAAGAAAGCGGTATGTATTTTGTAATTTGTTTTCATTAGGGGCAAGTAAATCGAGGCTGGGCACACCATGGCTACAGTGGGAGGGTCTGTTCCTGAGGTGGGAGGAAGCAGAGCTAGAGTCACTGTTCATGGCAGGACTGTTGATGCTGACAGCTATCTACATGCATAGTGTGGTGATGTAGCCAAGTGATGTAATGAGAACCAACTGTAAGGAGAACCTTTGTTAGTAAATCTTCTGAATAAAACTCTGTGACATCAAATGCCATACTCACACACACATCATTAATGGCATTCCAGTCAGTGGGAGACTGTATATACAAAGGTGATTATTTGAGATCATAATGGAACTAAAAACATTTGTTGTCTAGTGATGTAGGTCATAGTGTGAGGCATTGCAGTTTTTGTAGGAATGCTAATCTTTTTAGTGGAGTGGGGTGTTTGAAGACAAAGTTTCTCTGTGTAGCTCTGGTTGTCCTGGAACTAGCTCTGTAGACCAGGCTGGCCTTGAACTCACAGAGATCTACCTGCTTCTGTCTCCTGACTCTTGGAACTAAAGGTGTGCACCATCACTGCCTGACTGTGATGCTAATCTTAACAAGCTCATGTGGCTGGACATAGAAAAGTATAGTGCATGCAGTTAAGTATAGTAAGTAGCACTTGGTAATTGTGACTGTTACTGGTTTAGGGGAGGCTTGCTTCTATAGGACAGGGATGTGTTCTTAGAAATGTGTCATCAGGTAATTTCATTGTTGTCCAATAAGCCACATTTAAATCACAAAGTGCCTACCCAGATGTACAGGATAGCATACATATATCCCAGTTGTAGACACGTATGGCATGGTGCTATACTGAACATTGTGAACAGCTAGTAATACAGTGGTAATTATCTGAACACATCTCCTCAGAGAAGAGGTACTGTGAAGGGACTGTATGTAAAAGGGTTCTTAAAAGTTCCTGTCTGTGTAGGCCCTGAGCTTACAGGTCCTCCTGGAAGTTGTGTAAGGCAGTGACATAGATGACGACTACTGCTGGCTTTCTGAATGTTGCACATTTTTACCACGTTATGTTTATATTTTAAAAAATTCTTAATAGTTAACTTTTAATATTTTTACTTTATAATTTTGACCTTTTATCTTTTTGACTTTTGAAAGAAAATACAATTAGCTTAAAATACAAGTATTGTACATTGGTGTGAAAATATTCTCCTTATACTTTTATTTTATATATATGCTTTACCTACTTTTAATTTTTTGTAATATTGGTGCACACACACACACACACACACACACACATTCTTCCACCTAGGACTGTTGAGATTGGGCAGGATTGGCATCTCCTACTTCATCCCAGTATCCCAGTGGAGGGTCTTTGGGGCAGTCATGTGAGGAGCCATCTCTTCTGATACAGTAACGCCCTCTGGGTCACCCCGGAGTCACTGTCTGGCTTACCAGTTTCTTTTGTTACACATAGAACATAGAACCAGGTACTCATAGAACTGTAGAAGATCTGTCTCACTGTTATGGACTGAAGCCACCCAGAAAGGGAGTAAGGCTTCTCTGGTCGTCTGAGGAGCACACAGGGTATTATGATCTGGGGGTGACGTCCATGAAGAAGAAAAGCTTGGAGTGTTGTGTAAAGTCATTTATCTGAGAGCTGCAGTTCCTTGGGGTAGATTCAGTTTACAAATCTGATCCAAACTGGGCTTCTGCTGAGAGCAGAAGAAATCCACAGCTTGGGAACAGTGTTCGTAGAGACCAGAGATTTGTATATCCAGGAGTATGTGGATGATATACTCCATTTTCATGCACCCTAGACAGTCAGAAGTACTGTGGTGCCCTCCAGAAAGTGATCAGCTGTTGACCACAGACTTGCGTCTTCTCGTGAGAGTCGTGTTCTTGTTTTTAACATTTATCTGTTTATATATGTGGGTGTGGGTGTGGGGGCACACACACGTGATATGGAGGTCAGGAACAACTTGTGGAGATCAGCCTCTCCTTTGACCATGTATATTTCATGGAATGAACTTGGGTTGTCAGGTTTGGCAGACAGCAAGTGTCTATTCACTGAGCCATCTTGCAGGCCCGAGAATAGTTTTGATAAAATGATCTCTCACTGATCCTGGCTAAAGAGTTGCAAGTTAGTATAGTATTAGAATGGATTGATTTCCATTGAGTATTTAAAACATAACTTACAGTGTTTCATTTAGATGGTAGTCTTGTGAATTGTTTGAGATCTGTAAATACTGTGTGTGGTCACATTGCCTTTAAGAAAGACTTCTCACAATGAAACCCTGCCTTGAAAATCAAACCAAATAAAGTAAAATAAAAAGAGACTTCTTGGCGGGCAGTGGTGGCGCACGCCTTTAATCCCAGCACTTGGGAGGCAGAGGCAGGCGGATTTCTGAGTTCGAGGCCAGCCTGGTCTACAGAGTGAGTTCCAGGACAGCCAGGGGTACACAGAGAAACCCTGTCTCGAAAAACCAAAAAAAAAAACAAAAAAAACCCAAAAACCAAAAAGAGACTTCTTTTATTCAAACAGATATCTGGATGAACTTTTTGGTCAAGTTAGTGTCAGGTTCAAAATGTTTGAGGACACAGGCTTGGGAGGTAGCTTAATGGGTGTTTGCAACGAAAGCAAGAAGACTCCTGACCTAAATCCAGGTGTGGATGTGTACTGGTTTGTAAAACTGGTGCTGTGGAGGGACAAAGAGAAGACAAAAGGGTCACTGGGCCTTACAGACTAGACTGCCAGTCTAGCTTCAAGTTCACCAAGAGAGAGGACAGAACGAGACACCCAGACACCCAGACACACACACACACACACACACACACACACACACACACACACGTACATGTATGCACTGTACACATACATCCACAAAGAAAACATACATACATTTAGGGGCAAAGCTGTCTTGGAGCAGCAGTACAGAGTAGAACGTAAGCATTCTTGATCTGGCACTAGAAACGTAGGGCATTCTGGTGTGTCAGAGCAGGGACTGCTGGGACACAACGGGCGCAGTAAGAAGGAAGGCCTGACCCTCCTTTTCTGTGACGTCTCATAAATTGCTGGGCCAGCAAATGGAGATGTGTTGTTTGGAGAATAATAAACTTCATCCAGTTTAGCTTATTGACAATGTTTGCTGACATGCTTATTTTAATAATCTAGTCTCTCTGCCTCTTTTTTTTCTCTCTCACACATACATATATACACACACAAATAAATAATGAAAAAATATTTTTAAAAAACATTTCTTTTCTTTTTAAAGAAACATTTCAAATACTTCAAAATCTCGCTCTTTAGTTATATAGACAAGATCCCTTGAGACAGGTGTGATTTGTGCACAATGTAGCTTGTGGCTTCCTGTATGCCTTTTTGGGAGTGGGGATGGGGCCTTGAAGTTTTGAATCTCAGGCCCCACTGAATTTTCTCACTCAAAAGTTTTGACTATCCACTTATATACAATAGCATTGTATATAATTGTATATAATTACAGGATCAAGTATTGTTTGGTTATATTTACTTGTATATGCACATGCATGATATTCTAGCAGGTCTTCTACCATATGGGTCCTGGGGAATGCAGGTGATCAAGCTTGGCAAGGAGTACCTACTGAGCTATCTTGCTGGCCCAAATTAGAGGTTTTGAATTAGGAAATAGTGTGTAAAGTTTTGCTGCTGAGTGGTCAGTTGAAAGCCTGCTATAGAGAGAAAAGACTGGATCACACACAGGCTGAAGGGAATGATAAAAGTTAAAAGTTTCTTTAGTCAGGGAGTTTTGTCTTTGGAGTGTTTAAGGCAATAACAGGGAACCAGAGACATGTCTTAGCGGTTAAAAGCACTTGTTGCTCTTACAAAGGACCTAGGTTTGAATCCTCCGTCATGGTGGCTAATAACTGTCTTTAAATCCAGTTCCAGAGTCCAGTCCCCCTTTTGACCCCTGTAGTCACCAGAGACATTATACATGGTGCACCTACATACATCACATTAAACAAATCTTAACTTTTTAAAAAAAAAAGTTATAATAATAGCTTGAGATAATAGAAATTTCTGTATTAGCTGCTGTGCTCTGGGAAAACAGAGTATGCACCATGTTGAATACTGGCCTGCTATCCCCATGTTGTCTCCTCCTTTCTTTGGGGAAACAGGATTTAGGAACGTGTAGCATGGCAACAGGAATATCACCCACATGCTGGCTGATGTGGCTTAGACGAAACAAGGTTGGGGAATCAGGACACATGAGGCTTTCTTAGGGACGAGAACAGTGCCCAGCTGATTGATTGGTTTCAGAGGATAGACTTTATGCTCTGGAGGCTTGGGGTGTGTGCACACTTAATTGGAGTGACACCATGCTTGGAGTCTTTGGCAGCCCTGAGTTATGAGAATACTGTCAGGTGGATGATGCTTTTCCAGTTTCTGATGTCTTATTTGCTTTGTGTTCTTTTTGGCCTGCTCATGTAGGATTCATAGATGTATACCTTTCTATTCCATGGGTAGGTGTCTCCACCTGGCATTGCCAGGTTGTGGTGCATGTCCCCATTCCCTTCCAGGGAAGCTGTCCAGGCTGTTTTACACAGAGGCTGACTCTTTTTGCTCCCCCCACTAGGAACATTCGTGTTTGGGAACAATGCCTTTGGGTCAGTTTCCATCTTGCTGGTGATGGACGATGTGAGCTGTTCTCCATTGTTGACTTGGTATTTAGAGAGAGTCTTTGATAAGCTTTTTAAAATCTGTTTGTATTGAGATTTGAACTTGTTCCTTGTGTTCTGGATATCTGACCTTTATCAGATGTTTATAGGGCCTGCTCAGCTGTTCACATGGCTACTTTAGAACTGAAAACTTTAGCAGAGCCTTCAAGGAGTTGAAGCCTCTTGCTCCGATGGAGTAACTTTTGTCATCTTTTCCTTTTGTGGATCATGCTAATGGGCATTTCAGAACCTTGGCGACCCTTGAAGATTTATTCAACATTGGTAGATAGTAGTAAGCACTTGTTACCAGTTCCTTCCCTTGGCTTTTTGTTTGACTGCCAGAAGGTATACCCTTTGATTGAAACTACAACTGTAATTCACTTTAATTACTATTGCCTTCAGTTCTAAAGTAAGTCTGGGTTTCAGATATGTTAAATATAAGAAAATGTGTCTTGTAGAAACATTGAAAGTAAGTTTTCTTTCTGCTTTCTCTTCAGTCTATAGCCTTCACTTTGTGACTATTGCCTGAGGCTATTGTAGGTCTGCACAAATCCTAGAACCCAGTTTTGCTGGCTACTGAAAGTCATTAATATGATGTTGAATTGTGCGTCTTCCTGATCAGACCAAGTGGAAGGGCAGTATTATTAGTAGGGAGTGGAGCAGGTGTATGTTTACAGTTTCAGCAAGGGTCAGCCAGCTCTGGGTGCCACAGTCTGCTGTGGGCCTCCATAGTAGATTTAGTCTGCTTCCGTCTTGACACAAGGGAAGGAGTTGTGTGGTTTCTATGCTCTGGGTCTCTGGACTGAGACGGGAGGCTTCCATATACTCTTCCAGCGATTCCAGAGAACATGAGTCACTGTTGTAAAAGTGACAGCTCTCCTTAATGCAAATGATTCTTGGTCCTGAATCTGTTGAGTGTCTGCCTTGTCAGCTTAAAAAAAATCTTTTTGTTTATTCTTTGAGACTTTCATACATGTATATAACATTATATAACATATTTTGATACCATCCACTCTGCTCCCTATCTACTCCCTGAGACAGACCTTTCTACCATTACTGCCTCTGTGCTGGCTACGTGAGCTTGACATACACTAGAGTCCTCTAAAAGAAGAGAACTATGAAGAAAATGTTTCCACACGTTCTGCCTGGGAGGCATTCTCTTAATTAGTGATTGATGGGGGAGGGCCCAGCCCATTATGGGTTCTGTAAGAAAGCAGGCTGAGCAGTGCATGCTGAACCTAGCACTGCCCCATGGCCTCTGCAACAGTTACTGCCCTGATTCCTCTCAGTGATGGAAGTATGAGCTGATTCCTCTCATACCTGGAAGTATGAGCTGAATAAACCCTTCCCTCTGAGCTTGCTTTTGGTCATGGTGTTTTCACCACAGCAGTAATGACCCTCACTAGGGCACCCTTCTGACTTTATATCATCTGTTTGGATGTGGGTATCATCTGTTTGGATGATGCTAAAGATAGACTTTAGGGCCTTTTACATGTTTACAAGCTCTCCACTATTGATCTGTGTCTCTAATCTGTGTTTTTACTCATTCATTTATTTATTTGTCCATCACAGGCAGGGTTTTACCATGTTGCCCAGGTTGGCCTTATGCATTCTACCCTCTGATTTCTTCTTGAGTAGTTGGGATAACAAGCCTGTCTTCTTAGTACATCCGTGTAGCTAGCCTAGATCTTTACTTGCCTCAGGGAATGGGGAAAATACAGTTAAAAAGGTCTTACAAGTTGGAAGCCAGGTCAATTGCAGCTGAATTCTAAGTTTTACAGTTTCGAGTGAGGGGGAAAGTGATGGGAAGGTAGAGGAAAATAACTTTGTTGAAGAAAACTGAGTTTATTTCCATTGATGTGTTTTATGTAAAGGACAGAATAGAGTGCAGGTTGAAGTGCTGAGAGAAGTGGGTTTAGGTGATCGCTTAGGGTCAGCAAATGAGGAGTTTAGACTAAATCTAGTGTTTCTATAGTGCGTAAGTTAACAGTAGTTGATAGTCTCCCAAATGGTTAAGAAAAACAGTGCCAAAAAATAGTATTTGAGACATGTGAAAATTATGTAGAATTGGACTAAGTACCCATAAACATGGTTTAGTTGGTGGCATAACTTAATTTACTCATGAGTCTTCTGGTAGAGGCAAAGCAGAGGCCAAGAGTACTAAACATGGCCTTCCAATCGGAAGCACCAGCTGGGAGAACGCACTGTTACTTGAAGGTGTGATGTTCATAATATAGTAAGCACATAGATGAGGGAAACCTAGTAACTTGTTACTCTAAGACTCTCTTCTCTTTTGACAGAGATACCGAACAAAGCCATACTGCTGTAGTCTCTGTAGGTACTCAACAAAGGTGCTCACTTCCCTAAAAAATCACCTGCATCGATATCACGAAGATGAGGCTGACCAGGAGCTGATGATCCCCTGCCCCAACTGCCCATTTGCCTCGCAGCCCAGGGTGGTGGGCAAGCACTTCAGAATGTTCCATGCGCCTGCACGCAAAGTCCAGAGCTACACAGTGAACATTCTGGGTGAGGCGAAGGCATCGAGGAGTGATGTGATAAGCTTCACGTGTTTAAAATGTAACTTTTCCAACACTTTGTACTACAGCATGAAGAAGCATGTGCTGGTGGCCCATTTTAATTACTTAATTAACTCCTACTTTGGCTTGCGAACTGAGGAAACAGGAGAGCAACCAAAGGCAAGCGATCCTGTTTGTGTGGATAAAATCCTGCCATTTGACAAGTACTACTGTAAAAAATGCAGTGCCATCGCCAGCAGTCAGGATGCCCTGATGTATCACATTTTGACATCAGATGCACATAGGGACTTGGAGAATAAGCTGAGGTCTGTGATTTCAGAACACATCAAGAGGACTGGGTTTCTGAAGCAAATGCATATTGCTCCAAAACCAGTGACTCACTTGGCTTTACCTCCAAACAGCAGTGCTCCAAGCATTGCACCCCCTCCACCCTGCTTCCAGCTTGCTTTGCCACAGAACAATCAAAGCTCTGGCACTGTGCAGTCAGTGACTGTGGCCCCAGGCACTTCTGGGAGCCTTACACACTCCCCACCTACCACTGCCCAGTCTCATGTAGCTCTGGTCTCCAGCTCTTTGCCTGTGTGCCAGAGTAGCCTCACCCTGCAGCAGTCAGCTCCCCCGCCTGTCTTTCTCTCTCACAGTGTTGCACTTAATCAGCCTGTGAGTACTTCTGTGCTGCCTCTGACTCAGTCAGTTGGGCCTGTGAATAAGTCTGTGGGAACAAGCATCCTTCCTGTGAACCAAGCCATGTGCTCTGTGAACCAAGCCGTCCGCCCTGGAGTTTTACCCCTCACTAAGCCCATGGGGCCCATGAACAGACCTATGGGGCCCATTAACAGACCTGTGGGGGCTGGTGTCTTGCCTGTGGGTCCCTCTGTTAACTCGGGGGTTCTCCAGGCTGCATCTCCTGGGGTGATTTCTGTAGGTCGAGCAGTTCCATCAGGAGTCCTTCCTGCAGGTCAGATGACCCCTGCTGGCGTGATCCCCGGGCACACAGCCACTTCTGGGGTCTTACCTACTGGCCAGGTGGTCCAGTCATCAGTTCTTCCTGTTGGCCAGACAGCTCCATCTCGAGTTCTCCCTCCTGGCCAGACAGTGCCCTTGAGGGTTCTCCCTGCAGGCCAGGTGGTACCACCTGGGCTGCTTTCCCCAAACCAGACTGTCCCCTCAGGAGTTGTCCCTGTGAATCAGGGTATGAACTCTGGTGTTCTTCAGCTCAGTCAGCCAGTAACACCAGGAGTCCTTCCTGTGGGACCACCAGTGAGACCTGGTGTACTGCACCTCAGTCCGTCTGTCAGCACCAGTATCCTGCCTGTGAGCCAGCCAGTGAGAGCTGGAACTTCACAAAACACTACGTTCCTTACTTCGGGCTCTATTCTCAGACAGCTCATTCCAACTGGGAAACAGGTGAATGGAATTCCCACCTATACACTGGCCCCAGTGTCTGTCACTCTGCCGGTGCCCTCTGGTGGAGGCCTTGCAGCTGTTGGATCACCACCCCAGGTGCCAGTGCAGTTCTTGCCGTCAAGCTCGGGCACACAGATGGGCAGCTCCTTGCCCAGCCTACCCTCTCCACAGGTATTAGTGAGCCCTGCCCCAAGTGTGTTTGTTCAGGCTACCCCACCTGTGGCAGATGCAAATCAGGCACTCAAACAGGCTAAGCAGTGGAAAACATGCCCAGTTTGCAATGAGCTCTTCCCTTCCAATGTCTATCAGGTTCACATGGAAGTTGCTCACAAGCAGAGCGAGGCTCAGCTCTGCCAGGTTTGCAATGAACTCTTCCCTGCCAATGTATACCAGGTTCACGTGGAAGTGGCTCACAAGCAGAGTGAGTCCAAGTCTAGTGAGAAACTTGAGCCTGAGAAGCTTGCTGCATGTGCCCCATTTCTGAAGTGGATGAGAGAGAAGACAGTGCGCTGCCTCTCTTGTAAGTGCCTGGTCTCACAGGAGGAGCTGATGCACCATTTGCTCATGCATGGCCTGGGGTGCCTGTTTTGTCCGTGCACTTTTCATGATGTCCGGGGCCTTGTGGAGCACAGCAGGACTAAGCACCTGGGCAAGAAGAGACTGTCCATGGATTACAGTAACAGAGGTTTCCAGCTGGACCTGGATGCTGATGGAAACCTGCTGTTCCCTCATCTCGATTTCATCACCATACTGCCACGGGAGAAACTGGGAGAGCGAGAAGTGTACCTGGCTATCCTTGCTGGAATACACTCGAAGTCGCTGGTACCTGTGTATGTTAAGGTGAGGCCTCAGCCTGAGGTTGCACCAAAGATACCTAACAAACAGAAGCTGACCTGCCCGTTTTGTTTCGGCACATTTATGACGGCTGATGCTTACGAGCTGCATTTGAAGGAGAGGCACCATGTCATGCCCACAGTCCATACAATGCTCAGGTCTCCAGCCTTTAAGTGCATCCACTGTTGTGGGGTCTACACTGGAAACATGACCTTAGGGGCCATCGCTGTTCATTTGCTCCGTTGTAGAAGTGCTCCCAAGGACAGCAGCTCAGACCTCCAAGTCCAGCCAGGTTTTATTGAGAGCAGTGAACTGCTGATGGTCAATGGGGAAGTGATCCCTGAGTCCACCTTTCCTGTAAAGAGAAAGCTGCCAGAAGGCCATTTAGGGCTGGAAGACCAGAGGGATGATGGGGAAGAGCCCCAGCTCACCCTAGATACTGATGCAAGCCCAGGTTCAGAGAAAGGGCTGAGCGCTGTGCCTTTGAAGAGACAGAAGAATGAAAGCAGGACCGAGGGGTCAGGGGCCAGTGACGACTCACTGCAGGTGTTAGCATTAGACCCCAGGAAGTATGATGGTCGCTCCTATGAGGAAAAGAAACAGTTTCTTAGAGATTATTTTCACAAGAGACCATATCCTAGTAGAAAAGAAGTGGAACTGCTGTCATCACTCTTGTGGGTGTGGAAAATTGACGTGGCTTCATTCTTTGGGAAAAGAAGGTATATTTGCATGAAAGCAATAAAAACTCACAAGCCCTCTGTACTTCTAGGTTTTGATATGTCTGAACTTAAAAATGTCAAACACAGACTGAACTTTGAGTGTGAATCACAAGACCTGTAGAAGAGTAAGTCTGGAGTCTGGCTGACTTTGGACACCCCGTCCCCACCTTTCACTCTGTTCTAAGTGTCTGAGGCCCTTCAAGGTGTTCCAGGTGCTCAGAAAGCCTGAAAAGGAAGCACACACTTCCACAGATGAGCTGCTCTCTGCAGTTTGCTTTGCAGCTGTTTCAGTTTTTCCTTCTGTCATGTAAATTAAATCTTTGGTATTCCATGCACGCCTCGTTTCCCCATGAGTGTCGGTGTCAGTAGCACCAGCCTGGAATCTACAAATACTTGGTTTTTCATTTTAGGGAATTTCTGCTTGTTTGAGAATACTTAATTAATAAAAAATTAAAGCATCGCTCCCTCTTAGTTTACAGACAGCAGCTAGTGACAGTACGTGTTTAGAAAAGCGAGTACTCTGTGTATGGCTCCCTAGGGACATACTTTTAAGCATTGACTTCTGTTGATTCTGTGAACGCTGTTTGCTTAAGAGTACAAATTTGATTTATACTTTCTCAAGTGTCCCCTGACAGCTATTTTTTTAAATATAATTCATTAAAAAAAACCCAAATGTTTTCCATTTATTAAAATATCCTGAATCTGAGGTCTGGTGTGTAGTAATAATCAAGTGTTGCTTCACAAATAAAGTCTGTAGGAACAGAAATGCTTTATGGTGCAAACTGTCTTTTGCTGTGATGACAAGTCATTTCTCCATTCAAAGGTAAGACATTTTTAGTGCCTTTAAACTGAAAACACCAAGGTGCTTCCTTCCTTGGGACTGCTTGTAACCTAGTAGGAAGGAAGGACCCGTGATAGACATGTGGGTCCTGCTCTTGATTTAGATACAACTTGAGATGGAATTCGGGTTTCAGGCGCAAGGTGACAGGCAGACCAGAAGCTCTACCTGTGGTTAGAGTAGCTTGGGGTAGATGTGTTAAGAGTTAGGTGTTCAGATAAAGGGGACGGCAAATCAATGAATTTTCACAGTCCCGTGGATGCCAAATCTTTGTTTTGTTTTCTTCCTTCCATGATAAGAAATAATGTAAAGCAACAGAATTGATACTGAGGACCAGCCAGCTCTGGTCAAACTCACCCCTCTGGATGATGTGCAGCAGCAGGGGGTTTGGCCCACCTGCGAGTATGAGGGTTTGATGGCCTCTGGGAAGCACTGATGTGTTGCTGTATAGCATTTTTAAAATATAATACTTGCATGTGATTACTAAAATATGGATTTTGAGGCAGTTATCTGTGACTATTGGTATACTCTATTGTAAATTCAGAGCTTGTTGGACTTTATTTTTTTTTTATTTTCAGAGTGTCTATTTTTGAATTAAAATTTGTTAAACCACTGAAAATAGAACTGTTCAATTCTTGTAACATTAAAACATTACTCTTAAGTCAAGCAGGATGGTGTTTACTTGTTGGCTGAGTGTCTCCAGAACTGCGGAAGCTTTGTGCCTAACAGGCGTGTTGTTACATCTCTCTCTTTAAGCTTCACCATATCCTTTCCTGCCGGTGTTATTCTGCAACTTGTGTTTTACAGAGGCAGAAGCCAAGGCTCATGTAAGCAACCAATAGTCTAGTCTGCTCAGGGTTTGAGGTACTTCCCAGGATTTGTGCTAAAACTAGAGCATTGAGGTCAAGTTTGTCATTCTCTTAAACCTAGGTTTCCTTGCTCAAATTTGGGCATGCACCTTGTCTTTAGGTTTCTATGTAGCTCTTTTAAGTGTCAAGATACATAAAACACTCTGATGTGTGACATCTCTGGGGATACAAAGCAATCCAGAGATAGTTCTAGAGTATTTCCTCTGTGCTAGGCACCCCTCTAAATCTGGGTACCTTTAATGAGGAATGTAAGGAAGGCCTGATTAAGCTAGCATAGCGGCACAAAAGGCCCTTTACTCAGGCAGTGCCAGCGGAGCTTTGCTACTTAAAAGTAGAGGTTCCACTAGTGAAACGTTAGAACTGCCCCACTGTTGCCAGTTCAAGCCCATTTTATCCTCTTATTACTGGTCAGTGTGTGCTTTTTCTCTGCCTTTTCCTAACAGGACATCACTGTTGGCCTGTGCTACTGTTCTGGCTAGTTAAGGCCTCAGCTTCTCAGAAGTTATGCAAGTAGAAGATCCCAGCTTCAGAACTATTCTAGTTCTTGAGAACTGTCCTATTCAGTCTTCAGTATCTATTCTGACTGCAAGCTCAAATATCCGCAGGTGCTAAAGGATCTTGTTTGAAAGTGAAGTTTTGAGACAGGGTTTCTGTGTAGCCCTGGCTGTCCTGAACTTGCTCTGTAGACCAGGCTGCCCTCAAATACACAGGTCTGCCTGCCTCTTCTTCCCAAGTGCTGAGGTTAAAGGTGTATGCCATCTGAGCTGAGTTTGTTTGTTTGTCTTTTTTCTTAAGGTCTTCCTGAGTAGCCAGGCTATCCTTAAACTCATGGAGATCCTGTCCACAAAACCTGACTGCTAGAATTGTGGACTTGTGCCACTACAATGCTTATTATGAGGTCATTTTAAAAAGAAATTTGGCCTTAAGCTTAAGTTTGTCAACATGTGCTGGAGGAAATGCATTTATCATATGACATACATGACTGGGACAGATTGCAGGGATTTAAAGTGTATGTAGCAAGTGTCAAGTTAGCTACTGCTTATGTCTGTTCTGAGTACAAGATAAGCCAGGGTGGGTAACAAGGCAGCTGAGGCTTCCATTACATTAATGCTAAGGCTGAGCTTTTGGCTAAGCCTGGTTTACCTGCTAGAAAGTTGACGCTTTTTCCTGAACTCTGCTGCAGGGTCGTGATTTTCTAGTTATATGTCACTGCTGATGCCCTGACTTGACTCTTTGGGATGGTAGAGACCCAAGACCCTTTTTTGAAAAGCTCAGCAGCATGTACCTCTGTCAATACCCAGGATAGTACATTTTTCTAGCAATATGCTTACTGTTTGTTTACATCAGCTTTTGAGATTCTACACTCGATTTCCATTTCCAATTGCCTTGATTATAAAAGAGGAAAGTTGAGCTACAAATGCCATTGCAGCCAGTGGTAGAGTGCTTGCTTGGCAGGTGGAAAGTCTTGTTCAATTTGTAGCTCTGCCAAGAGCTGAACAACTGAGGTAGTAAAAGTGGGTGATGTTGCTACTAAACCATAGAGTTTCAATCGGTATTTTAAAAACATGTTAAAAATGGGTTCAAATCTAGGGAGGTTGTTCGGTCTATAATTTTTTTTTTTTTTTTTGGTTTTTCGAGACAGGGTTTCTCTGTGTAGCCCTGGCTGTCCTGGAACTCACTCTGTAGTCCAGGCTGGCCTTGAACTCAGAAATCCGCCTGCCTCTGCCTCCCAAGTGCTGGGATTAAAGATGTGCGCCACCACTGCCCGGCATGGTCTATAAATTTTTAAGTCCATTCTATTACAAAGTTCTTTCATGTATCTTTGGAGCTGCATATTATTCTCCAGATTAAGCACATCTTGTCCTAGAGTCAAAATGCCCGCAGTGTCTCTGGACTTAAGTGTAATTGAAACAAAGTCTCCCATATAACTTTAACACTAAGCCCTAGATACAACCTGCTTGACTCCACTCTGGATCTGAGGACCCATGCCACCCTCTTCCCACTATGCTTATTTTTCCACTTCTATGTGAGTACACTGTCGCTGTCTTCAGACACACCAGAAGAGGGCATTGGATCCTATTACAGATGTTGTGAGCCACCATGTGGTTGCTGGGACCTCTGGAAGAGCGGTCAGTGTTCTTCGCCACTGAGTCATCTCTCCAGCCTTGTTTTTCCACTTCTAAAACAGCATGTGGGGAGGATTCCTTCAGTGTCTTTGTGAGAGGTTCTCCATGTAATCACACATGGTTTCCTAGACACTAGAAATAGACCATGGATCTTAAGCCATCCCCTGAGCAGTTTCCAAACAAGCCATATGCCTATGGCAACCACTTTAAAGAGAGATGAAGTGGTGCTCTACCTTGCCTTAAAGGAAGCTAAAAGACCAGATGGCAGACTCAGTTGAGAAAGTGATACGTGCCTGAAAATGGTACAGCAAACACCACACTTGCCAAGATAAAGCTTACCTTAGTTTACTCATTCATTGAACTAATTTGAGATCGTGGGAGAGTTCTGAGATGTGTCCTGCTTCCTGTAGACTGTCCTAAGATAGTGTCCTAAGATAGTGCTGCACAGGTGAGACCTGTGCTATACTTGTATGTGGCAGTAAGCTCTAGAATGTAGTTAGGAATTTTGCTGGTCTTGTAAAGTGGTGATAATAGGTTATCTTAGAAGACCTAACTAGCCCTGGCTGACTGACTAGGCTTCTGTTACTAGGTATGACCTCCCTCTTGTTAAGAGGGCTTTAAGTCTAATTAGACATCTCTTGTTTATTGCCAACATACAAGTGCTACTATTACATTTTTAGAGATGTTGTGCTGGTCATTACAGCTGGATGGCACTGTTGATTTTTTTTTCTCCTACCCTTGGCAACTTGTATAAAATTTTCTGGTACTGTGGAAGCTAGACCACAAGAAGAACTCGAAGCATCTGAGTTGTGTCCTAAGTCCTGGTGTCTTCAGCAATAGGGATTTAACCTTCAGTCTCTGAGAGGCAACCAAGGGCTACCCTGACCAACAAGGTAGATAGTTTGATTAGATAGGTAGTTTAAGTCTCTTGTGGGGAGCATTGTCATCTCAAGTTACATATCTTCATTTAAGGCATGCATATATATTTATATATGTGTAAATTACTGTATATATGTTATTTATAATTTTAGGTAAATGTAAAATGATCCCTTGAAGTTTTATCAGATAGCCTTGACCTCTCTCCCTAGTTAGAGCTCCCTTGCCATATTTTTCCGTTTCCTTATTTTTATCACTGGTATCCTGCTATTTCCCTCTCAGCTTCCCCCTTCCCCTCAGTCCCATTATACTTTCCTGGTTTCTGCAGCTTCATCTGAAGATTTGGAACTAGGAATTGCATGAGAGCAGACATATGGTGTTTATCTTTCTGTTTTTTCTTTTTACATTACTCAATGTATTCTTTTCTATATCCATTTATCTCTGGATCTCATTTTTCTTTATAGCGGAATAGTTTTCTGTTGTGTATATATTCTACATTTCCATTATCTGGTAACCTGTTGAAGGACATTTAGTGTGTTTCCATTTCCTTGCTCTTGTCATTAGGGCAGCAATGAACATGGCTGACCACATAACCATAGAGGAGGATGTTGAGTCCTTTGGGCTGGGCCATATAGAAAGTTTGTTTTTAGATTTCTGAGGATTCTTCATGCTGATTTCCAGAGAGGCTGTGGCAGTTTGCTTTCTCACCACTAGTAAATGTGGCTCCTCTCCCTCCACATCCTCTCCAGAATTTGTTGTTGGTTGTTTTAGCCATTCTGACTGGGGAGAGATGAGATTGTAGAGTTGGTTTAGTTTGCATTTTCCCAGTTGCTAAGGATGGTGAACACATTTTGAGGTGTTTCCTACCCATATTACTTTATTCTATTGAGAACTTGGTTTAGAACACTAGCCCATTTCTAAATTGAGTCATTTGTTCTATTGACTGTGTTTTGAGTTCTTTGTATATAATCATCTGGCAGATATATAGATGGCAAAGATTCTTTTCTACTAAGTGGGTTTCTTCAACAGATTATTTCCTTAGCTGTACAGAAGCCTACTCTTCACCTGCTGGCCTTAATTCCTGGATATAAATGGGGTAAAAAATCCGTTTATATACCTGTATCTTATAGGGTACTACCTGTGTTTTCTTCTAGTAGTTTTAGAATTTCAGGTTTAAAATTGAACTCCTTGATCTACACACACACACACACACACACACACACACACACATTTCTAGAGTTTTCCAGTTACATGTATATATGTCTATATAAATCTGGAATGGCAGTCCCTTCAACATTATTGTTTTTGCTCAGGATTGCTTTGGTCTTCCCTGGTTTTAATGAATTTTAGGATTCTTTTCCTATTCCTGTGAAGAATGTGGGCAGGTATTTTGACTGGGATTGCATTAAACCTGTAAATATAAGGTAGGACACAAACCATTACCAAATTCAGAAAAATAATACCATGCATCTTACTAGATTGTCAGGTAATAAAACTTAAAATTAACAGCAAAAATTCTCTGTAAGGTACACAAACTCACTCTCCTCTATCTGCGCACACCCTTTTCTCTCTGCCTCCCCTGCTTCCCCTTCATCATGACAACATCCCTGGACTTGGTTGTTGGGGCCAGTAAACTCACCCACCTGAGAGCAACATCCTTGAATATAAGAGCTGGTTCTTTGAGAACTAAAATAAACTCTTGGCCCAGCTAACCAAAACAAAGAAAGACATGGTCCAAATTAACTGACTTAGGAAGAAACAAACATTACAACAGACACCAAAGAAATTCAGAATATTGTAAGATAATTCTCAAAAATCTACTCTATTTCATTGGAAAAATCTAAAAGAAATGGATGAATTTCTAGGTTCAGACTACCAGAGTCAAGCCAAGAAGACATCAAAAACACTAAACAGATCCAAACAAATGAGACTGAAATAGTACTAGAAAGCCTTCCAACTAAAAAAGCCCAGGGCCAGATGTATTCACAGCAGCATCCTACCAGACTTTCAAAGAAACTTTAGATTTAATTCTTAAATCATTAAAAAGGAAAGGAAGAGAACACTCCCAAGCTCATTCCACAAAGCCAGTATTGCTCAAATATCAAAAACAGATAAAAGACACAACAAAACAAAATTATTGACTGATATCCCTGATCAATATAAATGCAAAAATCTTCAGTAAAATACAGCAAATGGAAAACTGGCATATATCAAAAGGATGAGCCACTGTGAGTTGGCTTTATTCCAGAAATGCAGTAGCTAAAGAAAAAGGCTTTGACAAACTCCAGTGTACTTTCGTGATAAGAAACCTTCCTGATAAGAAACCTAGAAAGGAGGGCTAGAGGGGATGTACCTCAACATCATAAAAGCTATAGAAGACAAACCCACAGCCAGTATTACCATAAATCGTGAAGATACTGGAGTGGTCCCATTGAAGTCAGGAACGAGAGAGGGCTGTCCATTGTTCCCACTGCCTTTCAATATAGTTCTCAAAAAAGTACCCAGAGCAGTAAGGCAATGAAAGGATATAAATAGGAAGTCATTACTCCTGTGTGCAGATGCTGTCCAAAAGAGACCTCAAAATTATACTAGAAAACTTCTAGAAACGGTTTCAGCAAAGTGGAAGGGTACAAAGTCAACTTAGAAAAATATTTAGGAGTAGCCTTTTCATGCACTAACAAACTTTCTTGAGAAAGATCCTGAGCATACTTCAGACACACATGGGCACACTTCACTTTCCAACACCTTCAGACACAAATGGAAACACTTTATTTCCAACACCTTCAAGCATAGTAAAGTATCTCGGAAGAAACCTAACCAAGAAGGTGAAAGACCTCTATAATGAACATTTAAAAATTTTGAAGAAAGATCAAGAAAGGCACTGAAAATTGAAAGATATATATTGTGCGGCGCCTACCACCCCGACCAGCAGGGAAGAAAGACTCGCACACCAGTTCCTTCCAGCAGCAGTTTACTCAGAAATTGCTAGTTACATGAAGCTTGAAGGTGTGCCCCCAAGCCAGCCCAGGAGCGAAGCTTTATACCCTGCGTAGGACTGCCCATGAGCCCATACCACATCTCGCACTGTGATTGGTCAAGGACCCATGACACAAGATCAGGCCACCAGGAAGTACTGCCCCAGGACCAAACAAGGCTTGTTTACTCCAAGTCAGCAAGGGCTAGCCGGCACCATCTTTAAGGCGTGGCAGCAGCGCTCCACAATATATAAAAAAGACACCCCATATTCACAGAACAGTGGAATTAATAGTGTAAAAATGAAGTTCTACCAAAAAATTAATTAATTTGGTAAAAATTAATTATACCAAATTAAATTTTAAAAAGCAAACACTCTACTAGTGATATATTCTTGAAGAGGGGGTAAAATTTGTGAGCAAGTGGTTAGGAAACAGGTGAGTACCACTGAAACAATTTCTATCCATTTTGGTAACTGAAGTTCTAGAAACTGCAAATGTCAGCCAGATTTCTCAGTTGTACAGATGACCCTAGGATTGTTTCATGTAAAACAAAAAATGCTAAACAACCCACGTAGCTTTCACTGGCCTGAAGGTCAGCTCCCTGGCAGCATCTATACTTTGGGTTCGTGACATGATGCTGTGGTGGTCTGAATGAGAGTGGCCTGCTTGGTGGCTTATGTTTGAATGTGTGGTCCCCAGTTAGTGGAACTGTTTGTGAAGGACCAGGTCTGGACTTGTAGTAGTGTCACTGGGAGTGGGTTTTGAGGTTTCAACCCCTCGCCCCAACCCCCATACCAGGCCCAGTCTCTCTGCTGTGTGTAGATCAGAATGTAATGCTCTCTGCTACTGGAATAGTGTCATGCCTGTCTGCTTCCAGCCATGATCCTGGATTAGCCCTCTCAAATAGTCAGCAAGCCCCAATTAAATGCTTGCTTTTGCTTACATCATGGTGTCTCTTCACAGCAATAGAATTCTAAGACAGATGCTTAGATCAGGTAATGTGGCCTTGGTTCCCACCCAAGCGCCCGTACCTCCCACTACAGGATGTGAATGGCTGTGAAACTCAACTTCAGAAAGTGTATCCAGCACTGGCATGTACCTGACAACTCCATTGCATCAGACTGCTAAGCATCAACTGCAGAGCCCGAGTTTTCCCGGCTCTGAACTGGGAAGGTGTAGTTCATGGTCACCATAAAGATAAATACTGTAAAAAAAAAAAAACAACATGTTATTCCTTTTCCAGCATACATGTGCTCCCTCTGGGATTACAGGTGCTCAGAGGCAGCAGAATACTTGAGACTTGAGTGAACCCTGAGGACAGCATTATAGTTTTAGTAATGTAAGAATGATAGTGTTAGGGAAAACTGCAAACAACAGTAAATGTAGGGGGAGTTGTGCAAGGACTCAGAAAAACTCCCCCCAAAGACTTTAAAGGAATATTCTGAATTATCTATCAGTGTGATTGTAGGTCTATTTTTATCTGTAAAATAGCAATAAAAACACAGGGAATGTGCAAGGGTTAAGTGAAACAATTATGGCACGTTAGGCTTTGATACATGCCAATCAGCTTCTTTCTGTGCTCACGTCATCTTGCCAATGGCATGAAAACTCTTCCCTTATTCTAAACACAACTAAAGTGCATGTGGAGATCTGAATGAGAATGGTCCCTGTAGGTTCATATATTTGAATGCTTGGTCTTGGTTGGTGGAAAGGTTTGGAAAGGACTAGGAGGCATGGCCTTGTTGGTGGTGTGTTACTGGAGATAGGCTTTGAGGTTTCAAAAGCCCACACCATCCCCAGTTAGTTCTCTTCACCAGCACAGAGGCCTTACACTTGTGAATCCACTGTTTTAAGGCCTGAGCTCCTTCTCCAGCACCATGTCTGCCTGTCTACTGCCATGCTTGCTGCCATGATGGTCATGGACTTACCTCTGAAACTGAAGTCAAACCCCCAGTTAAGTGCTTTCTTTTATAAGTTACTTATTTCTTCACAGCAATATAGCAGTAACTGAGAGGTAGAGGTATATCAATAACACACATTAACTCAAAAGTTTTTTATTCTGATATATAAAACAAAATTTAATATATAATGACAGATTCTTGTGAAAGAAGAAAGATAACGGTAGGAGTAGAGTTCTGTTTAGAAAAATACTCTCAGGTATCTGCTAAACACATGTAATTACAGGCAACATCTCACAAAGGTCAGGCCTCCTCATTTAAAAAAATTTTCTTTTTGAATAAACTGATTCACATTTACCAAATAACTTAAACATGGTAAGAAACATAACTTTCTTTCTTGGTAGCAAACACAGGGTGTTTAACACAGAACACCAAGCGACAGTATAGCTGAGAACAAGGCATGTAGGAACTGAGCATCAGTTGTTTTTGGTTCTGTAATATTTGTCTTAGTAAAAAACATTCCAGATCGCTGCAGCAACACAGAAACAAAACAGTTGCTCTTAGCAATTTGGAAGCCATGAATCTGGGTGTCTGGATCCTCACCAAGACCCGCTGAGCATCTTGCTCTCCTTGTGTTAATGATATTCGGCACATAACTGAGAAGCAGACACAGGCCAAGGTAACAATCCTCAGCCAAAGCCACTTATGCCCAGTAAACAGTTCCCCAAAGGAAAAAACGGTTTGACTGGACGAATTCTGGACAAAGGACAATGCTGAGATGCATTCTCCGTCTGGCATTGCTGAAGTCAGGACAGTTCTGCATCTCACCAGCAGGTGATGCTAGACCATAAGGGCAGCCAGACTCTGGGGCACCTGGAAGACGAAGATGCTTTAAACCTTTATTTACATGAAGGATTCACTTGGTCAGTTTGTTCTCAGTTAATGTGATATTCTATCCCAACACTGTATCCAAACAGAAAACACAATTCATATAAAAAATAATTGGGTGAGACATTAATAAACCTCTAAGAAGGTCAAAGGAAAGTGATCTGTCAAAACTATTAAGTTCCACATGACTTGTTCTAGTTAAGATAATTCCTGCCATTGATCACTATTCTAGGAACAGGCATCGACATGCTCTAATGTCTTATAAAAATAACTCTCCGAAGCAAAGCTAGCATGTACATCCACCCCACTCACTGCTGTGGGCCTTTAGAGAGGTGACACTCTCTACTGACGATGTCTTAAACTGCCCTAGTTAGCCAACCCAAAGAAAACACGGATGGAACAGTTGGCTATTAATCCCACGTGTTATCACTGGTCTTACCTTCTAGCCAGCAGGGTTGCTGGATCCCTAAATCCACCTTAAGCCAACAGCAGTGACTGCCTGACTGTTGCGGCTGGGACAGCTCCACAGATGAAGGGCCCTGTAATCCCAGTGGTTCTTGGGTATAGGCCAGAGGGCTTTCTGAGCTGGCTGTAAATGGTGAAAACTGCCTTTCTGTGATGGGACCCAGCCTTAGCTCCTATTATCCTATCACAGCCATACTGGGTCAGTAGACCACTCGGACATCACAAGATATTTTTACACAAACTGGTTAAAAATATGAATTTTACGATTTTAAAAAAGTTATCTATAAAGCTTCACTTTTAAAAACAAGTATTTAAAAAATGTTAAAAATACTCTTCGCACTTTTGTGTTTTGTTTCACTTCGCAAAGGTTCTGGACATGCACTGAGGCCTGGCCCAGATAAATTTGCAGTTGTGCATATTTTAAGTTCTGTGGAAAAATTCTACAAAAATAGTATTCTTGTTCAAAAGTTTAAATAAAGAATAAGGTTGATGAAGAAAAAAGAAAAGTACACAATTATTTTTCTTATTTTAAAATTGACATGAAAATGTAAAGCATTTCCCTTTGGAGTGACTATACATCTAATAGTACTACATGCTATTTAATACTTGCCACCTGTGGGTCTCGGTGACACACAGTCTGTCTGGGACTTCAGCCTGGCCAAGTGCTCAAGCCCTAGAGTGTAATGGCTGGCCCATGTTCCTCCACTCCTCCTTGGGGGAGGACCAGGCTGTGTCGCGGGTCTGGTTTCAGAGAGCTGAGAAATCTGTGGATGCTGCCATTGCTCTCCCTCCCAGAGCTATGCAGGCTCATGTCCCCTCTGTGCAGCCTGTGAGCAAGGCTGGTGCCATTGGCCCTTGAGAGGCTGCCTGGAGGTACAGCCTGTGTCTTCGGAATGTGTTGAGGTTCTAGAGCCCCTTCAATGACGATGTCGGCTTCCTCATCACTCTCCATTTCTTCAGAATTCGGTAGAGCATGGGCGCCTGGCAGGCTGTGGTGACTGGTGGTGCTGTCTGTGGACTGGACAGAGCTGCCGGATGTGCGGCTACTGCGAACCACATTGTTCCTTTGGTTGGCCGGCTTGACAGTGACGATGAGGTTGTGGCTGTTGGCTATCATCATGTCTGTGACTTGATCCAATGTCTTTCCAGCTACCTCAATCCCATTCACCTCCAGGACTTCGTCATTCACAGCCAGTAGCCCAGTGCTTTCTGCAAGGCCCCCAGGCACCATTCGAGAAATGAAGATACCTGGTACTTTTTCTAGCCCGTGGGGTGTCACGCGCACGCTGGTGCCATCTCGAATGTAGAAGCCCAGTGGCTTTTCACAGCCATGTCTGTAGAGCCTCACTCGGCGGTGTGTCTCAGGGAGGATGTCCACATCAATGATGGATGACACTGGGCGGAAGTCATGCGGCATGCTGATGTTGAGGTGGGTACGCCGACGCAGACCCTCATCCCTCAGGGTCACCAGCACCTTTTTCTTCCTAGACAGAGTGCCTGCTCCAAAGCTGTAATGGTCTGCCTCTTCTGAAAGAGTCCAGAGAGAGTAAAGTGAGAGGTGTATACCATACACAGGCAGAAAAGAGCACTAGTATCCCTGCGGTGTCAGGAAGCCTGTCTGCTGTCCTCAGAAATGCCAGCTTTCTGTTACCTGCCTTGCATCTACTGCCCCAAGTCTGGATCCAGGAAGAACTACTATATCTGGGACTTGACGTACAGAAAGCACTTCCCAGAGGCATCACCAAATTGGCCTACAGGTAACGAAACCAAAGGACTTGGAGGGAAGGAGGCTGAATGAAGAGCCGACAATGAAGAGAATCAGCAAAAGAAAAAAGGGTTAAACATCTGGAAGGCCTGCAAAACAGAAAACATGGGTTAAGGCACAGCAGGCTGCAGGATACTTCCATGAGACAGACAGCTGGACTACGGGCTTCTTAAGCATATCCAGCCAAGCCCCTAGATGACCCTTGTTACCTTGTCTCATCTTCTAGCTGTTAGGTCAGAGGACTAGTTCTATCTGAGGCTAATTCTTTTCTGTGCAAGCATCATGGTATAAGCACTCGGGCCCAACAAGGAGTTTCTTAGGGAATCTGGTTTCTCTCTCTCTCTCTCTTTTTCTTTTCTTTCTTTCTTTCTTTTTTTCTTTCTTTTTTTTTTTTTTGCTAATTTCTGGTCAGTGGCTGATGAGGTATGACATAGCACCTTGCACCAGAAGGGTAACAGGTAAGATGAGACAGGTCTGGATGAATTAACTGGACGAGGCTGTGCTGAATAGCCTGGTCAAAGGTGCAGTTTTAGGAACGTGAAAGGGAGGAGACTGGTGTTTGGAAATGCTGAGGAGAACATTTTCTCAGGTTAGAAAAACAGACTCCATTTGTTTTTATATCAAGCCTTTTATTTTTGACATGTGAGGCTATATAAGAAAGCACATCTGGACTCTGATCAAAGGCCTCAGTCCCCATGGCTCGACTCCCAGGATACAGAAGTGTCTGCTCTGCATACTGGTCCTGTGGCATCTGCACCTCATGGTGGCCTCCTCTGCATGGACTTGGGGTGGTGTGATGCCTTTCTTTGCCAACAAAAACCCAACTGGAAAACTGTTTGTCTTTCCAACGCCCCTGTGTTCAAAGGCTGACCATTTCTTAGACACATGCCATTACAATCAGGTCACTGAGTGGTGGCCCCCAATGGTCTTTCAACAGCCCTGATGCTAGTATTGGCCTCCTTCACTTGCCTGACTTTAAAAGACAAAAGATTGAGTAAATAAAAAGAACCAGGTTACAGGCAGAGATGGCTGGATAAGAGAAAAGAATAAGAGCCTAAATTGGAAACAGCCTGAGAGCTGGCAAGACAGTGCTCTCAACACCTAGGGAAACTTTGTGTCTTTCATCTTGGAAGAAGGCTAGTGGGAAAGTCCAAAAGCTTGGCATGGAGAAGAAACTTGAAGCTAAGAGGGCTAGTGCAGATTAGGACTTCCAGTCTGGGCCAGAGCGTAGAGCAGATCTCAGGTGGCAGCTCTCTACCCAACCTCAGAAAACCAGAGGAAGAGGGCCTCCCAGGAGCTTTAAATCAGGCAGCATCTCAGGTAAAAATGAATCACCCATGATGTCTGCTGTTAGAAGTTCTAATCCACCACATACTGGCCTCCAAACTTATACTACTCAGACCTTTGAAGGGCCATTGACAAGAACATTAAACAGCTAGAGATTGACATCACTAATCTGAAGAAATCCCTCGTTTCGCTGTCTGAAGAACCCTCCAAAAGTCGACTTTGGACTTGATTTTATTGGACTTGATTTTATCTATTACAGTAGAAAAGGCTGTGTACAGCTCTTGACTGTGTACAGCCCTTAAAGAAGAATGTTGCCTTTACACAGACAAGACAGGGAGGGTTAAAGAGAGCATGAAATAGATCAGAGAAGACCCTGAGAAAAGTCAGAGAGAGAAAGAGAAAGATGAGTGCTGGTACAAGAATTGTTTTTTCAGCTTCTCCATGGTTGTCAACCCTACTTCCTCCCATCTTGGGACCATTATTTGGGTTATTTTTGCTTATTTCTTCTGGTCCCTGGGTCTCAAATAGGCTGACTAACTCTGTGAAACAACAGATAAATAATTTGGTAGCAAAACCTACTCAGATACATTATCATAAGTTAGCTATGGAGGACCACGAGATTCAAGATGAGGTTGTTACTTTACCCAGGGTGTTCCCAAAACCCATCTCCACCCAACCTAAAAGAGGGGACTTCTGCCCCTAGACCAATCAGAGAGGGGCCACCCAGAACCCGCTCTGACTGGCAATCTGAATTCTTGCTTAGGCTGCGAGGCTAAGCACTGCAGGGGAATATAAATAAAAGTTAAAAATATCTCTCTGGGTTCCCTGTGGGACAAGCCTGACTGCATAGGGGTTGATGTCAAAAGTATCCCCTCTCCAGGAAAAAGACATCGGGACGGGTATGGCCCTCATGCCTCACTGGACAATGACAGGGGGACCGGAGCCATTACAAGGCCCCCTTCAATTACTGGAGGTCAGGCCTCTATCTCCGCCTTTGCAAGATTAGAATCGCGACAGCCCTTCTATACTTAGAGAAGGGAGGAGATCTCAGGGACATCCCTGCTTACACACTGAAGGCCTAAAATCAGCCATAGGCCTAAAATCAGTAATAGGCCTGTCATACATGTATACTAACACCAAGTCTTGGATCTCTGTGGAAAAACATTGAAACAGATGGCTATAAGCTATTGTAAACAGGCAGCTTTCGTGGAAATTTACCAGCCTCAGTAGTCATAGACCTTGTAAATAGGTAGCCTTGGCAGACAATACCAACTTAGATAAGGACAAGTGAATCATAGGCAGAGTCATAAGTGATCTGTCCCCTGAACCTTCACCCAGCCAATACCCTGTTCTGAAAGATATCTGTATTCCCCCTGAACACCCACGCTCCAGTGTCATCCCCTTCCCACGTCCTGCCTTTCTGTGTTTATAACCCCTGTGTGAATGAATTATGATTTGAAAAAAATAAATAAATTATTTAAAAAAAAAAGAGGGCTAGTGCAAGGGGCAGGGCCAGAGAGGAGTACCTCTAGGTTGCAAAGCCCAGCAGGGAGAAGTCCTACTGTGGCTAAGACCTTTATCAGACAGATATCCCCATCAGGTAGTGTTCTGATGGCCTCATGCAAGAAGCAGCACGTGTCTGCTCAGTTCAGGGCCGGGAAGAAAAGGCTCCAGCTAAGGTCACATACTAGTTGGTAACCAGAATGGTGACACCTTCATGGATAAGCTTCAGAAGAACTTCCATCACTATCTGTAGATTCATGCCTGAAGCTAGACAAATGACCAGCCCTGCAGTTAGTTAGCACATGGGATGGCTGTGCTAGGCCTCCTCCAGGGAGACTGATACATTCACTGAGCCAGAACCTGGGGTGTTTCTGGAAGCAGCCAAGCAATGGTTTGCAGTGTGTGACTCAGTTGAGTTCCTCTGCATAGGACACACCAGAAACCCATCACAAGTCCCACTAACACCAGAGCACCTGACACCACACTGAGCAGTATCTATCAAGCTGTAGCCGCTACGGAAGCCAGGAGGGTGGGAGCTGAGACATGGGACAGAGGTGGGAACGTGCAGTGCAGGCTGAATGGAAGGCTGGAGACTTGCAAATTTGGCCAAACCTAAAGGCCCTCAGCCCCAGAGCTCCATGTGGTCAGGTTTCGCTGGAACATGGGAAGTGATCATGAACCTGTGTTCTAAACGTCTTACCAAGAAATTAGATGTTTATGTTTTATCTGTCTTTTGAAAAATTATCTGTTAAAGGTGTGGTTTTTGGCTCTCTTGAGAAGTGGGGCCTGTGGTACAATGTGTTCATTCTTATGTTAGAGACCCTGTAATTGTAAGCAGTAAGACTCAACAAGCCAGGTTGCCTAACTTTTGGCTTTTATGTCATTGGCTAGCCCCTAGTGCCTAGCCCTTGTTTCTCTGGCTCTGACCATGTATTTCCAGCTCCCATGTTTATTTAACTATGCATCAGGAGGTGTTGCAGTAGAGCTGAAGGCTCTGGCAAGGCATGTTGACCAAACCCTCTCCCTTTTTAGCATAAGACGCTGGTCCACAGAAACAGCAAAAGGGAACAAGTGAGACTTTGGAAACTTATGGGGCCATGCTCCAGTGCAGGTCCTCTGCTGCAGTTCCTGAGACTGGATACCATGTGTAAGATGTGTGCCAAATGCATATCAAGGGCTGAGGGCAGGGCACAGCTCTGAGCATAGCATCTGATGAGGTCAGGTACATCTAGAGTGCTATGGCTCTAGATCCCACATCCAAGGGCAGCAAGCTTAGAGCTGGTGCTATCCCAGAAGTCCTTGGAAGAGGCTCTTCCAGGGGTGGAGCAGGTGCCCCTATGGCTCCCTGGTTTATCCACACTGACCTCCCTGAGACTAGTCTGTGGATAGTGGCTTGTGCCCAATGCTCTCATTTTGCTGTTGTGGGGAATGAGAATATGGAGGACTTGTGCCCCAGGAGAATGATCAGGGGCTCATGGAGCAGGACTTGTGCTCTCCCTGTGTGGTACTTTTTACTGGATGACCAGGTTTATAGATCAGCTAGCAAGGTTCAGAGTTCAGGTCTAATACCAGTGAGTGAGGAGGGGCTATGATCCAGCTTATAGCTTCATCCTGAGAACCATGGAGTTGGAAAGTCAGAGACTATGTCTATTGCTGACAAATGGACTATGTCTATTGCTGTGTAATGAAAGGGCATGCTGGCTTCTAGACAGGAAATATGAGTGAAGTGTTCTGGGGCAGGGGAAACAGGCAGATGCCACACGAGATGAAAGAGTAGTTTCTGAACTCTCGGGAAAAACGGGTCCACTGTAGACTAACCTGGACTGTCTTTCCCTGCAGCAAGGTGAGCTGCAGCCCACAGACTTGCATGCAGGATTTTCAGACAGTAACATGTTTCTATCTCTTGTTAAATATAAACCATCACACATGGATTTTGTTTATAAAAAATCCCAAACTCTTCTAAAAACAAAAA